TACAACTCAGGTGAGAGAAAGTTCATACAACTCAGGTGAGAGAAAGTTCATACAACCCAGGTGAGAGAAAGTTCATACAACTCAGGTGAGAGAAAGTTCATACAACTCAGGTGAGAGAAAGTTCATACAACTCAGGTGAGAGAAAGTTCATACAACTCAGGTGAGAGAAAGTTCATACAACTCAGGTGAGAGAAAGTTCATACAACTCAGGTGAGAGAAAGTTCATACAACTCATGAGAGAAAGTTCATACAACTCAGGTGAGAGAAAGTTCATACAACTCAGGTGAGAGAAAGTTCATACAACTCAGGTGAGAGAAAGTTCATACAACTCAGGTGAGAGAAAGTTCATACAACTCATGAGAGAAAGTTCATACAACTCAGGTGAGAGAAAGTTCATACAACTATGTTGACAGAAAGTTCATACAACTCAGGTGAGAGAAAGTTCATACAACTCATGAGAGAGAGTTCATACAACTCAGGTGAGAGAAAGTTCATACAACTCAGGTGAGAGAAAGTTCATACAACTCAGGTGAGAGAAAGTTCATACAACTCAGGTGAGAGAAAAAAACTCAGGTGAGAGAAAGTTCATACAACTCAGGTGAGAGAAAGTTCATACAACTCAGGTGAGAGAAAGTTCATACAACCCAGGTGAGAGAAAGTTCATACAACTCAGGTGAGAGAAAGTTCATACAACTCAGGTGAGAGAAAGTTCATACAACTCAGGTGAGAGAAAGTTCATACAACTCAGGTGAGAGAAAGTTCATACAACTCAGGTGAAAGTTCATACAACTCATGAGAGAAAGTTCATACAACTCAGGTGAGAGAAAGTTCATACAACTCAGGTGAGAGAAAGTTCATACAACTCAGGTGAGAGAAAGTTCATACAACTCAGGTGAGAGAAAGTTCATACAACTCATGAGAGAAAGTTCATACAACTCAGGTGAGAGAAAGTTCATACAACTCAGGTGAGAGAAAGTTCATACAACTCAGGTGAGAGAAAGTTCATACAACTCAGGTGAGAGAAAGTTCATACAACTCAGGTGAGAGAAAGTTCATACAACTCAGGTGAGAGAAAGTTCATACAACTCAGGTGAGAGAAAGTTCATACAACTCAGGTGAGAGAAAAAAACTCAGGTGAGAGAAAGTTCATACAACTCAGGTGAGAGAAAGTTCATACAACTCAGGTGAGAGAAAGTTCATACAACTCAGGTGAGAGAAAGTTCATACAAATCAGGTGAGAGAAAGTTCATACAACTCAGGTGAGAGAAAGTTCATACAACTCAGGTGAGAGAAAGTTCATACAACTCAGGTGAGAGAAAGTTAATACAACTCATGACAGAAAGTTGTTACAACTCAGGTGACAGAAAGCTGTTACAACTCAGGTGGGAGAAAGTTCATACAACTCAGGTGAGAGAAAGTTCATACAACTCAGGTGAGAGAAAGTTCATACAACTCAGGTGAGAGAAAGTTCATACAACTCAGGTGAGAGAAAGTTCATACAACTCAGGTGGGAGAAAGTTCATACAACTCATGAGAGAGAGTTCATACAACTCAGGTGAGAGAAAGTTCATACAACTCAGGTGAGAGAAAGTTCATACAACTCAGGTGAGAGAAAGTTCATACAACTATGTTGACAGAAAGTTCATACAACTCAGGTGAGAGAAAGTTCATACAACTTATGAGAGAGAGTTCATACAACTCAGGTGAGAGAAAGTTCATACAACTCAGGTGAGAGAAAGTTCATACAACTCAGGTGAGAGAAAGTTCATACAACTCAGGTGAGAGAAAAAAACTCAGGTGAGAGAAAGTTCATACAACTCAGGTGAGAGAAAGTTCATACAACTCAGGTGAGAGAAAGTTCATACAACTCAGGTGAGAGAAAGTTCATACAACTCAGGTGAGAGAAAGTTCATACAACTCAGGTGAGAGAAAGTTCATACAACTCAGGTGAGAGAAAGTTCATACAACTCATGACAGAAAGTTGTTACAACTCAGGTGACAGAAAGTTGTTACAACTCAGGTGGGAGAAAGTTCATACAACTCAGGTGAGAGAAAGTTCATACAACTCAGGTGAGAGAAAGTTCATACAACTCAGGTGAGAGAAAGTTCATACAACTCAGGTGAGAGAAAGTTCATACAACTCAGGTGAGAGAAAGTTCATACAACTCATGAGAGAGAGTTCATACAACTCAGGTGAGAGAAAGTTCATACAACTCAGGTGAGAGAAAGTTCATACAACTCAGGTGAGAGAAAGTTCATACAACTATGTTGACAGAAAGTTCATACAACTCAGGTGAGAGAAAGTTCATACAACTTATGAGAGAGAGTTCATACAACTCAGGTGAGAGAAAGTTCATACAACTCAGGTGAGAGAAAGTTCATACAACTCAGGTGAGAGAAAGTTCATACAACTCAGGTGAGAGAAAAAAACTCAGGTGAGAGAAAGTTCATACAACTCAGGTGAGAGAAAGTTCATACAACTCAGGTGAGAGAAAGTTCATACAACTCAGGTGAGAGAAAGTTCATACAAATCAGGTGAGAGAAAGTTCATACAACTCAGGTGAGAGAAAGTTCATACAACTCAGGTGAGAGAAAGTTCATACAACTCAGGTGAGAGAAAGTTCATACAACTCAGGTGAGAGAAAGTTCATACAACTCAGGTGAGAGAAAGTTCATACAACTCATGACAGAAAGTTGTTACAACTCAGGTGACAGAAAGTTGTTACAACTCAGGTGGGAGAAAGTTCATACAACTCAGGTGAGAGAAAGTTCATACAACTCAGGTGAGAGAAAGTTCATACAACTCAGGTGAGAGAAAGTTCATACAACTCAGGTGAGAGAAAGTTCATACAACTCAGGTGAGAGAAAGTTCATACAACTCATGAGAGAGAGTTCATACAACTCAGGTGAGAGAAAGTTCATACAACTCAGGTGAGAGAAAGTTCATACAACTCAGGTGAGAGAAAGTTCATACAACTCATGAGAGAAAGTTCATACAACTCAGGTGAGAGAAAGTTCATACAACTCAGGTGAGAGAAAGTTCATACAACTCAGGTGAGAGAAAAAAAACTCAGGTGAGAGAAAGTTCATACAACTCAGGTGAGAGAAAGTTCATACAACTCAGGTGAGAGAAAGTTCATACAACTCAGGTGAGAGAAAGTTCATACAACTCAGGTGAGAGAAAGTTCATACAACTCAGGTGAGAGAAAGTTCATACAACCCAGGTGAGAGAAAGTTCATACAACTCAGGTGAGAGAAAGTTCATACAACTCAGGTGAGAGAAAGTTCATACAACTCAGGTGAGAGAAAGTTCATACAACTCAGGTGAGAGAAAGTTCATACAACCCAGGTGAGAGAAAGTTCATACAACTCAGGTGAGAGAAAGTTCATACAACTCAGGTGAGAGAAAGTTCATACAACTCAGGTGAGAGAAAGTTCATACAACTCAGGTGAAAGTTCATACAACTCATGAGAGAAAGTTCATACAACTCAGGTGAGAGAAAGTTCATACAACTCAGGTGAGAGAAAGTTCATACAACTCAGGTGAGAGAAAGTTCATACAACTCAGGTGAGAGAAAGTTCATACAACTCATGAGAGAAAGTTCATACAACTCAGGTGAGAGAAAGTTCATACAACTATGTTGACAGAAAGTTCATACAACTCAGGTGAGAGAAAGTTCATACAACTCATGAGAGAGAGTTCATACAACTCAGGTGAGAGAAAGTTCATACAACTCAGGTGAGAGAAAGTTCATACAACTCAGGTGAGAGAAAGTTCATACAACTCAGGTGAGAGAAAAAAACTCAGGTGAGAGAAAGTTCATACAACTCAGGTGAGAGAGAGTTCATACAACTCAGGTGAGAGAAAGTTCATACAACCCAGGTGAGAGAAAGTTCATACAACTCAGGTGAGAGAAAGTTCATACAACTCAGGTGAGAGAAAGTTCATACAACTCAGGTGAGAGAAAGTTCATACAACTCAGTTGAGAGAAAGTTCATACAACTCAGGTGAGAGAAAGTTCATACAACTCAGGTGAGAGAAAGTTCATACAACTCAGGTGAGAGAAAGTTCATACAACTCAGGTGAGAGAAAGTTCATACAACTCAGGTGAAAGTTCATACAACTCATGAGAGAAAGTTCATACAACTCAGGTGAGAGAAAGTTCATACAACTCAGGTGAGAGAAAGTTCATACAACTCAGGTGAGAGAAAGTTCATACAACTCATGAGAGAAAGTTCATACAACTCAGGTGAGAGAAAGTTCATACAACTATGTTGACAGAAAGTTCATACAACTCAGGTGAGAGAAAGTTCATACAACTCATGAGAGAGAGTTCATACAACTCAGGTGAGAGAAAGTTCATACAACTCAGGTAAGAGAAAGTTCATACAACTCAGGTGAGAGAAAGTTCATACAACTCAGGTGAGAGAAAAAAACTCAGGTGAGAGAAAGTTCATACAACTCAGGTGAGAGAAAGTTCATACAACTCAGGTGAGAGAAAGTTCATACAACCCAGGTGAGAGAAAGTTCATACAAATCAGGTGAGAGAAAGTTCATACAACTCAGGTGAGAGAAAGTTCATACAACTCAGGTGAGAGAAAGTTCATACAACTCAGGTGAGAGAAAGTTCATACAACTCAGGTGAGAGAAAGTTCATACAACTCAGGTGAGAGAAAGTTCATACAACTCAGGTGAAAGAAAAAAGCTCAGGTGAAAGAAAGTTCATACAAATTTAAGTCACTAATAATAATGTGATTTGAAGGTCTCATACTCAGCCATCCAACATAATGGATTAAATAAAGTTAAAAAAAAACAGTCTACAATGAACTAAATCATGATTGACATCTTTTTACTGAATTGCTTATAATGTGACAATATTTTACTTGCATAAGAAATTCAGCGCAGAAAATAAAGATTAATTTTTTTACTTACTAATATGAGTACACAGGCTCTTAAAAACTTTCACTAGACGAATAAAAGAAACAATAAATCAACTCACTGCATTCTCTTCCTTGATTTATATTCATCAAAATCCAACAGATTTGGTACACTGGGCCTGTGATGACGCACTTGCCTAAAAATGATTTAGTTTGAATCATCCAGTAAAAATATCACTAGTTACTCAACAGCTGAGTACTAAAATTATTTAGGTGTTGTTGTATAAAACCTCAGATATAACTATACCAAATGAGAGTGGCTATTGAGAATAACCATGAAGTTTAACAAACCAAATTACATCGGATAATATAAATGACTAGACAGATATAAGGTATAATTTACCAAGATACTCTGAATTCCCTATCAATGACCCTGTTCAACTTGGGCACAGATTCGGTTCTTGTCAGTTTTCTTGGAGGTTTTGTGGCAAACATTTTCTCTAGGGCATCAAGTTTGGCAGAGTCCATGTTTCCATGGCCCCTCTTTTTCTTCTTCCTGCACACATTTGATAAATAAAAATAAACTTAGTACAATTGTGCTATAAACAGAGTTAAAATAAATTTTTAACAACATTTTTTTTTACATTACTATAAATATAAACTGATTGTGGTTAATGTAAAGATTTTTACAAGCTTTTTATTCAACATTTAGGAGTGTAAAAATGTTTACTGTTTAGGTAAAATCACATAGTTTCTCCCAGCTAAAATGGCCTTTTCTGCTGGTGTCAGCTCTTCTTCTTCAGAGTAAAAGAAAACAAAACAAATGACTAATAAGGAACATACTTCAGTACATAAAAAGTTATTAACACAAATAATTATCATAAGTAAATAAAATGACTCAGTATAAAAAAATTATTACAAATAATAAGTAATAATAATTTTAAAAATTAATTCATTAATACAAATATTTATCATAAGTAAATAAATTAACTCAGTTGTTGAAGTAGAACAGCACTACCTTTTATAGGAGAGGGCACAACTTCTAGGACATCAGAAACTTCGGATACCAGATCTTGGGCAATCTTGTGATAATAAAATAATTTTTAAACTAAAATATTGCAGTTCATTTTAATCAAAGTTTCTGCTGCCAATGCAATAAAAATTTCTTTGACAGGAATAAAGAGTATTGCAGGTTAAGTACTAGATCTATTTAACTTATACAAATCTAAAGAAGTTGGTTTATGAATAATTTCATTTATGAAATTGCTTAACTAAATTGTTTTTAAAAATTCAAATTTATAACAAGCAGGCCCAATTTAAAAATGAACAACACAGCATTGAAAGAGGTAGTAAAATAATATTTTTTTCTAACCTCTTGTTCAATGACTTCCTTTTTTTCTGGCTCTTCTTTTACATTATGTTTTTTCTTCGCCCTCTCCAGGAGTTGCTTCTGTAGTGTTATCTAAAATAAACAAAGATGTTGAAACATTTAATAAAAAAATTAATGGCTTGATACTTTAAATTTATAAACTAGTCAAATCAAACATTTGAATTAAAAATAAAAACCTCATTCATTGCAGTATTAAAGTCTTGAGGCACAATCAAAGTGTCATCAGTGCTGGCAAAAAGTCTCGGTGCAGTTTGTGGCCTCCTAAATAACAGATTTTTAAAAACAAATATAAAAAAAACTCTTAAAAATTAACATAGCATTGTTATTTTTAAAACAAATTTAAACAAAAAATTAATTCAGAGCAGTTATAGTAATCTTACAGTTTTGTGTGTCTTTCTTGAATACTTTTAGTATTTGCAGTTGAAACTGTGTCTTGGTGTTTAGAATCACCAGCTTTTATATTAGTTCCTTCATTGCTTTCAAAGAGCGCTTCAAGAAAATAACGACAAAATTAAAAGAAAAACTGATACAATGTATGCAAAATAAATATAATCAAGCAATTGGTTGTCTAGTGTGAACGATGAAAAACAGTAAACAAAAAACACAATACATCTCAGAAAATTAATATAACAATAAAATTATCTAGTAAATTAAAGCAAAATTTACAAAATTACATTCTTAGTTTGGATAGCATTTCAATAAAATAATATTTCAATAAAATCATATTTGTTAATCTTATTTATAAAATGTGACCTTAACTTCAGTGTGACAATAAATCAGATTATTTCTGTAGGAGGTGTCATGGTTGAATGGTAGAGCTTTTAACTGAGAGCCCAAAAGTATCAAGTTCCTATCCTGAGCTCAAGTCTGTAAGATATCCTGGAGTCCACCCAGCTCTGATGGGTACCTGACTCACATTAGAGAAACTAAAGCAGCTGGGCATGAGGCTGACCAAACTGTCCTCGTTTTCCAAGGACATTAAAACAGATGAACTCTACTTCATCTGTGTCTTGGGCACCAACAGGAAAAAATGATAATGATATCTGTGTGATATACAAATTTATACAGGAATTAATATTTTATTCACCTGCTTTTTCCTGGACTGTTATCATTTCTGCAGAATTGTGGCGCTTTCTCACTGTCCTACCAAACAAAAATACAATATCAATCACAAAAATAATTAATGTCAATTAAGTAAATAAAATGTTTTAAGAAGCCCACCATAAAAGACTTTCAAATTTTTCACCTCTCTTTGGCGGCTATTTCCTCTTCTGAAATGACTGGAATTTCCTCTTCCTCCTCGCTGCTTTCACTTTCTTCTTCTTTAGGTGGGGGTGGTTTTGTGTGGCCAAATTCATCTAGTTCCTCCAGCTCATACTGTGCTCCAAGTTTTTAAAAAACTTTTAATATTTTTATTCCAAATTTAAAAAATATTAAACTAGCAAATGAATATATAGAAAATATTTTAAATCAGCCTATAAAAGTTTAATAGAATTAGAAATATATAAAAGGACCAACTGTTAAAATAAGAAGATTCAATGGTAATACAAAATGATTGGAAATTAAGACAATGTTTTTAGAAGAATGGATGTTAAAATAAAAGTATAGGAAGGTAAGACAAAAAAGAGAAAGTTAAAAAAAATTGAAGCTAAAATAAAAAGTTTGGAATTTAAAAGATTGGTAGGTAAAATGCTGTGCTCTATTTACCTGTGGGAAAAGAACCTCGCGAACCCTCTGGGGTATGGTGCCAAGTTTGGGTGGGGCAGGGTTCCAGTACACCTGTGACTCATCACTTTTTATCTGGACTTTTTGGCCAGACACAGAGAGTGCTACGTCACCCAGCTTTAGACAGATATTCACACTTTGAGAGACATTAATACTTTAGCAAGATTTAGATATTAATGGCATCATGTTATTGCTAGGTCACCCAGCTTTAGACAGATATTCACACTTTAGCAAGATTTAGATATTAATGGCATCAATAGACTAGACAGCTTTAGACAGATATTCACACTTTAGCATGATTTAGATATTAATGGCATCAATAGACTAGACAGCTTTAGACAGATATTCACACTTTAGCATGATTTAGATATTAATGGCATCAATAGACTAGACAGCTTTAGACAGATATTCACACTTTAGCATGATTTAGATATTAATGGCATCAATAAACCGCCAAACTAAATAATCAATTTATTATTAACCTAAATAAATTTTTGGCCTATTGTCTGATAATGTTAATGACAACAGATAGCAAAATATATCAGTAAACCATTAAGATATATAATTATGTTATTGTAAACCCTAATGAATTTTTTGCCTTATTTTCTGATAATGTTTCATGATAAAAGATATCAAAATATTTAAATACAATGAACTTTACTTTTTTAATGCAAAACTTTGCAGTAAATTTGTACCACACTTTTGAAATAAATAGTATATTCATTTATGTTTTAAACTTGGGTATTAAAACTTGAAGATACTATGCTCAAAACCATTATTTATATTCTCAAAAGTGTATCATTAGGATTTTTAAAAACGTCAATACTGATGTTTGCAATCCTTTTTTGCAATCCTTATTACAATCCTTATTACAATCCTTATTACAATCCTTTTTACAATCCTTATTACAATCCTTATTGCAATCTTTACTGCAATCTTTACTGCAATCCTTATTGCAATCTTTACTGCAATCCTTTTTGCAATCCTTAATACAATCTTTTTTGCAATCCTTATTACAATCCTCATTACAATCCTCATTACAATCCTTATTAAAATGTTTGGGTTCAAACAAAGGACATACCACATCTTCAGCCTTCTTCTGCCACTCCATGAATGTGATAGCAGGGTCTGTGGAGGCCTGCACCACTCTCTCAGCAGCAAGCTCCAGCCTGCTCTCCCTGGGTGTGGCGATGGGATCTTGTTCCACAGGTGCGGCAAAGTCTTCAGGTTTGAACTAAATGGTGGGACGTGGGGGGGAAATCAAAGACTGATTTTTAAAAAGTCTAATAAAGGTAAGGGGTTGAGCTTGAATAGTTTTTAAAATTTTCACGTTTTTGCTGCACCAATCCTACTAAATTCAGACTACCCCCCCCCCCTTGCTAAATGATAAAGTAGAGTTTACCTGTTTTTATTAACTCTGCATATAAATGAATAGTGTAGTTAGTTCTCTGCCTAGCTGCCTTTACTTTACCTTATGTGAGTCAGGTACCCATCAGAGCTGGGTGGACTCCGGTACATCCTACGGACTCTAAGAGTCAGGAATTTAAACTCGAGACTTTCAAATTTCTATTGTTCACCCTACTGTCCAACCCCACCATCCCATCTGTAATGAAATAGTCAACAGAACCACCTACCCTAAAAGGCTGGTTGGGCTTGACACTGGGGAACCTATCAGGTGTGTGGTACTTCCTGCCAGCGTGCACCAGTTCCAAGGGCAGCTGGTACTCCACAGACATGCGACAGAAATGGTGCAGGTTGTTGCTGTACACTTTGCTGGGGACAGGGCCAGGGCCGTACTTATTCTCCACGGCAGGAGCCCAGGTGGACAGGAAGGAGACAGACGGAGTCAGGATGTTCACTTTTGGACCAATATCTGGGGCAGGTGGCTTGCGATCTTGAATCCCTTTGACCTCGCCAATGATGGATAGAATGTCTTCTGCTGTGGCTTCTGGTGGAGCCAGCAGATCTTTCCAAGCCTAACGTGTATATATCATAATATTACAAACAGCCTATATTTGACAAGTAAGTTTTTAATTCTACTAGTAAAAATAAGTTACCACTTTTTACTTTCACAGAATGAAATACAATAAGATGAAATAATAATATAATGAAATACGAGTAGTTGAAACAGTTTTTAGTCCAAAACATGCTCGCATTTACTAATAGTATCATATAAAATCTCTCAGCATAAATAATATTTTAAAGCAGTCTAGCTTACATAAAGAATGTTATGAGTTTGACTTTTGATTTAATTAGATCATTTATTAAAAAAAATTTTTTAAAGAAAGATAATCTTTTTTTAAAATATTGAAACTATTGATTGACAAGCTTGAAAAATAATTTTACTATTATGTCTAGCTCTGTAAAGACTGAAAACTCACCTGTTCCATGTTAGGTTCTGTCCCCTTCTCCTGATTTTTTTGATTGGCAGATATGACCCTGTGAGTATCATCATCCTTTTGATAGATAGCAAAAGGACATAAAAATTTCATATGTTAAAAAAATATGATACTTTAAAATGCTGTAATTAAATAAACCGGGAGTGATCTCCCCTAAACTTTCTCGGATATTCTAATATAAAACTACGAGGGATGGAAACTCAGGACATAGACAATATTTGTAATCCATTTTTAATTACTTAAACTTTTTATAAAAGAATGGAATCTCGTAAAAAAAAAGAATTGCACACTAAGTGAACGCCTAATAAAATGTGCATAATAGTGCGGGATATTATTAGTACTTTATAAATTTACGTGCGTTTTTTGAGAAATCAGAAATAGCGTAAATTAGTACTTCCGGTCAACAAAAATTACTCAAAATCTGAAAGAAGTTAGAAAATTAGATCTTTTACTTACATGTGAAATTTCATTTATCTATCTGAAATAGTACTCAAGTTATAGGCTTTTGAAAAATTCAAAGTAGAAAAAGTACCACTTCCGGTTATCGGAAATCGCTCAAAAGTTGAAACGGATCTACGATTTTGATAAAATACTTATAATTGAAATTTCATCAACCTAGCTGTAACGGTACTCAAGTAATCGTGTTTTTCTTCACACATTTTTGCACGATTACAATACTTTCTCTATACTTCGTATATAGGAGAAAGTAAAAAAAGGAAGGTGCGATTGGACTGATTAAGTCAAAACTACTACCCCTAATAGCCTACTATCCCTGTGATTGTCACAGTTCCACAGCAAGCTGTTAGAACATCCCTTAGCCCACCCAGCTCTGATTGGTACCTAATTCACATAAGAAAAGTAAAGGTGGCTGGACATAGTGCTGACCATACTATCCCTTCATATGCCGAGGTCACAGAAACAAGTGAACTCCACTTGCCCCATGGATCGTTGAAAAAGGGAATTTTACTTTTTTTTTTTACAGCAACTTGTTGAGTTTACACAACTATAATACATACCTAAGAATAACAAATACACAGGGACAATAGGGCTATCACTATGGGTTGTTTTGATGAAATAGATCAGTATCAAGCAACAAAATAAAAACTCTTGCTGCAGCCTATGTTATGATGGGACAGAAGGCAAGCTGAGAATCATTTTAGTTTAGCAACTTCCTGCTAATTAATCAGGAAAAGGTAGCAACATTTTGCATAATTAATCAGGAAAGGGTAGCAACATTCTACTAATTAATCAGGAAAAGGTAGCAACATTCTGCTAATTAATCAGGAAAGGGTAGCAACATTCTGCTAATTAATCAGGAAAGGGTAGCAACATTTTGCTTATTAATCAGGAAAGGGTAGCAACATTTTGCTAATTAATCAGGAAAAAGTAGCAACATTTTGCTAATTAATCAGGAAAAAGTAGCAACATTCTGCTAATTAATCAGGAAAAGGTAGCAACATTTTGCTAATTAATCAGGAAAAGGTAGCAACATTTTGCTAATTAATCAGGAAAAGGTAGCAACATTCTGCTAATTAATCAGGTAAGGGTAGCAAAATTCTGCTAATTAATCAGGAAAGGGTAGCAACATTTTGCTAATTAATCAGGAAAGGGTAGCAAAATTCTGCTAATTAATCAGGAAAGGGTAGCAACATTTTGCTAATTAATCAGGAAAGGGTAGCAACATTTTGCTAATTAATCAGGAAAGGGTAGCAACATTCTTCAAATTAATCAGGAAAGGGTAGCAACATTCTGCTAATTAATCAGGTAAGGGCTGACAAAAAACGCTTCATTAATTACAAGCCTTTGGAAGTCAATGGATGCCCAAAAAAAAAAGATTTTATTTTGGAATTTTCAAAACAGTGGCTAAAAAAGAAACAAGTTTATAAAACTGACCTCTGGATAATCAGTGAAGGATCCGGCACTTCCTAAAGCTCTGGTGGTTACAGACTGCTCTGTTTACAGAAAGCCAGGAGTAATAGGATAAAATGCATAGATTTTTTTTCTATTTCTTATTTTAAAGATTCTAAGTCTTTAATTTAAATCACAAAGTGAAAATATGTAAAAATTAAAATGACGAATTATTTTTCAATATTTTAAAAATTTTTCAAAACTTCTACTTATCATTTCATAAGTTCAAAGGAAATCAAGGACAAACATGTTACTCAAACAATTTGAAATAAAAAAATGTTTTACCATCACTTTCATCCACATTAAGATAATGCATTGCTGATGATCCTCTAAAACCATCTAAAAATTTGTTTTTTTTAAAAAAACATTTTTTTTTATAAGTTATGGTCCAGATCAAATTAAATAGAAAGATTTCAATTAAAATTGTCACAAGAAAAACATTTTAAACTATTGATAATCTGACACTGAGTTCTTGTTTTGTAAAAAATAAATTCAGCTTTTTTTCTCAAAACTGTTTTGTTTCTATTGACTTATCTTTTACAAGCTACTTAATTAATGTTTAAAGCCAAAATAGTTTTTTTTAGCTATGCTTACAACACTTGCATATTTTAACACAGGATTCAATGAAATAACCAGATATAAAACATAGAAATTGAGTCCAGGTTTCAATAGAAACCAATTTGATAGTAAAATAACTCAAATGATATGTACCAGCAATAGGATCAGCGTCATGGTACTCGTTAGGCCCTGGCTCATTAGTTAGGAGGAAATCAGCAGAACTACACTGTGTGTTGAGATTCATTTCAGTTTCTGTGGTGTGGTAAGGGCCCATCATGCTTTCACCTCTACTCTGGGTACTGCCATCAGGTTGTGTTGTGTTTTCTTCTGAGAAGGTTTGATAGTTTAATAAATAAATTAAAAAAAAAAAACAAGAGTACAATTATATTTTTTTTAGCTGCAGTAATATTTTACATAAAAAATTGTCATTCAGTATCAATTATTGGTACACTTATTTACTTTCTTTTGACTGTAATACTTCATGGTTGTATTTAAAATTAGCAAAAAAAGAAATATCGTTTACAAAGATTTAATAGACCTATAGTTTTACCTGCAAGGGACGGCATGGTCTAGCAGTAGAGTGTTACACTGCTAACCCAAAAGTCTAGAGTTTGAATTCGGAATTAAATGAGAAGAACGTCTCAGAGTCCACCTAGGTCTGACGGGTACCTGACTTAAGTAATGGAGGCGTGGCATAGTGCTGACCCAACTATCCCTTCATATCCGGTGTTACAGTGACAGGTGAACTCTACTTCACTTGCCCCATGGACTGTTAAGTTCAAAAAGAGAACTTGACTTTTTTTTAAATTTTTACCTTCAGTTTTTGTCCCATTAGCCACTTGTGTTGCATTGGTTCTTGACATAACCCTACTCATGATCTCTTTAATTTTCCTATCAGCCTCAGTTTCTCTAAAATTTAAAAAACAATTGTTTCATCTTGAAATGCACATGTTTAAATTACTGTTACTGTATGAACTAGGCTAGATAAATAAAATATCAATCCACCCATTGTCTCTGAACTATAAAAATAAAATTATAAAACAAGTAACTATTGGTGGTGTGATGTTAAATAATATTGTGTGCCAGTGGACCGTAATGCTTCAACTCAATGTATATGATATATATAGGATTCCAATTTTTTTAAAATCACATGGTTTTCAAACATGGAATGGACTTAACAATCTTTTTTTTTAGTTTTGTAATCTGTATGAAATATAATGATAATAGTCTGCATTCATTTATCAGATTAGAGAAACTTTATTTAAAAAATTTGAACCCACTGATTATAAGCTGTTTGATCTTTCAAGCTGGCAATTATTTCATCAACAGTTCTCTCCCCTCTTTTGACTTCAACTATTTCTTCAACCTTAGGTATTACTTTTTTGGAATCTGTTTCAGACAAAAAAAGAATCTTTTAATTAAAATTATAAAATATAATTATATTACACCCTACAAATTAATCTGTCTGTGGTGATGTAATATGTATGAAAGGTGAATACATGGAACGGATCACTGCGTGTGTGTATGTATCATGTAGTGAGATGCGAGGCAGGGTGTGTTGATGTGTATGTTGTTGTAAGGGGGTGAACGAGGGTACAAGGGAAGCGACTGGTCGGGTGACAGTGGCTGTGTTGTGAGTGAGAGAAAGGGATGAATGTGAATGCGGAGGGCAGTGGAAGGTTGAGTGTCAAAGCAGGAAATAAAGAATACTGTAATAGCCTCAATCGTGTTGTGCTTTCTTTGGGATCCTGACACCCTCACACTGTTAACATCTCTAACCTTTTGCAGCCAAGTCTTTTTCTATTTTTTTGGATCTATTAATGTTTTTCTTTGTTGATTTTAATCCAATCCCTTTTTTCTTTTCCTTTTGGACCTGGACCTCAACTATGGTAGTCTCAGATGATGTGCTGGATAACTGCTGTGCCTCTTCAAGAAGTTCTTTTAGAGATTTCACCTACAATATTTGACAGGGGGTTCTCGTGAAAGGACTGGTACAAAAATACAGTACCTCATTATGTCATTTCTGCTAATATTACAGTTAGGATCAAGTCAGGATTAGGTCAATTTTATAATCTGAATCTGTACTATATAATAATCATACTGCTTTAAAACAGAAAATGGAACCTCTAAAGGTTTAAAAGCTTGCTACTGAGATTTAAAAAAAAACATAACATCATACATTTACTTCAGGATAACTTAAAGTATCAGAGAACTGAAACTATTTACATATATTATTTTGTAAAGAAATTTTAGAAAAGGTTTTTTAATTTAAAAAGTTTTCAAATATTGAATTGTGCAGCTCATCTCTGAGTACTTTACAAAAAACCTCTAAATTTAGCCCTTGCATAACAATTAAAAAGTTTTGCACATTTTTACAATTCACTGATGGTGATGAGCAATGAATGTCTGGTATTGTTATAAATACAAAAATGATAACAACAGCTTACTGAGCCATCGCTAGGTGGACGACTGTTCAAATTTCTATCTTCCATCTGTACAGCAGTCTCTGGCTCAGCTTCCCCGTCGATGTTTATGATGGCATCGTCGTATCTGCTGTAGACAGACTCATCCGGGATGTTTACCTCGCAGCTTAGGAGGGATGACTGGAAGCTTTCAGCTGTGTTTGTTCTTAAAGGTGTTTTTAGAAAATCTGAAAATGGTTAATTATAAGCTATTAAATGTATACTTGATAAAATTAATAATATCATTTTAAATAGTAATGTGATAGTTAAAAAGTTAACGGAGTTAAAATACAGGAAAATTAAACAAATAAAGCTTAAAAATTTAAGAAATTAAGTTTACTTTTTGTTTCTAACTGTACCTAGACTTGATCAATAGAAGTCAAAGCAATTCATAGGCATTTTAAAATATTGTTTCTATTTAGTATTTTGTTTTGGTTTTTTAAATATTTTTTTCTATATAATATATAAATTAATGAAATATTTAGCAATAGCTTTGAAGTAGATGTAATACATTTATTTTGCTACTAAAAATTAATTAAGCTAAAAATAAAGTATGTAAATTCAGAAATAGATTTTAAATAGAAAAATAAATGTACTAACGTGATTTGTTTCGAGTGCCATAAAGATGTGACTTTTTTGGTGCTGGCTTAGCTCTCTCACAGAACTTCACAGTTGTTGATGTGCCAACGCCTGGAAGTATAGCCGGCTTTTTTTTAAGCGCCATCTGTTTTTCATTTTCCTCTTTTATTTGTTCGTCCAATTCATTTTGCTTCATCTTCTCCACATCAGACTCGTAATCTCCTAGCACCAAGTTGGGTATAATGAATGAATTTGCTGGAGTGTTGTAAAGCCTTGGTGGCATATGCTTCTGATCAATTAAAAACAGAATAACCTTGAGTAAGTTTACTAATAAAACAGGAATTTATAAAATAATTTAATATCTAAAAAAAAAACATGCATTTATATCACTAAGCTGAGGCTTATTATCTAGGTCTTTTATCGTTACTTAATTAGCAGAAAATAATTAATTAACTGAAAGAAATATCTTAAACTTTAAGATAACTGGCTCTTCAAACAATATACTCTGGTTTAAGAACAAAGCATTAAAACAATAATTAAGTTATTAATAACTTACTACTATTTGGCCCTGATAAATTTTATAAGAAAACAGATCAAAACAAATAAAAAGTACCTCAGGATCTTCCACTGGGGCAGGCCCACCCTCCAGCACAACTCGTAAGTTCGGAAATTCTGAACTGGAATCAAATTATATTTACATTAAGAAGAAATAAAGTGCAAGTTAAACTTATTTAAGTTATTATATTTTAAAAGTTCTAATCACCTTGCATTTTTACATTAAAGAAGAAATAAAGTGCATGTTAAACTTATTTAACTTATTATATTTTAAAAGTTTTAATCACCTTGCTCTGACAGGCAGCACTCCCAGTGTGGATATTCTTGGTTTTTTCATTTCTTGAAAATGTATCATAAAATAAAAATGTTAAGACATTCTCTGTAACCAATGGGTTATGTTAATTTGAGTCCTTACATTTGTACATGATTATTAGGCAGGATAATTTCTTTTAGTAAACACATGTCTTACATTATATAAAATATCTTTAGTAAATATAAGGAGTTGTATTTGATAGGTGAGAGTCTAAAGGGAGGCAATTACCTTCTGTCGTTGTTAACTTTTTGTTAGCATAAGGAAACTTTCTGGATCTAGAGTCCAGGATAGTTTTTACACCCTCATCCACTGGAGAATAAGGTGGAATGTTTGGCATGATCAGAAACTGGTCCTAAATAAAAGATTATGAAATAATGTTACAATACACCTTGTCCCATTTGCTTGAAAAAATTAGCATTGTATAAGAATCACTCATAATTTTAAATATTTTACTTGCCATTTGATGTTCAACTATTGAATATTAATTAATTTAAAAAATTAATTTTCTATATGATTATTACTTACAGGCTTAACATCTTTGGTTTTGATATTCTCATGAAAAACTGATTGAGTCTTTCTCTCATATTTTGGAGGTTGAGGAATAAATTCTGGGCCTAATTTTCTAAAAACAAAATGTTTTCACTCAATTAATATTAACTACTCCAATGAGTTCTAAATTTTTTAAATAACACTTGTGCTTTAATGTATACATTCAAAAGTTATCCAAGATACTTGGTACATGAATATAATATTACAAATCTGTAAATGTGCACAAGAAATCGTAACAAACCAAAAATTTACCTTTTAAAGATTTCTTCTTCACTAGGTTCTTCCGCCTTGATTAATTCTTTCTTTACACTGATATTAATTATTGACTTTCTGTTTACATTTTCTATCTCATGTTGTATAAGGAGATCTTGTCGCCTGTTTGTGTTTATTCTGATAGATCTGCTTCCATCTCGAAGGGACTCCAAATAATTTTGACCATCCATTTTCAAATGTGGACTTAAAAATGAACAGAATGAAGTAGCTGGTTGAAATTTAGTTTAATGTCACTCTACATTAAGATGAGCACTCACAAGATTAATATAAAACAAACCTAACCTATTGAACAGTTTCAATAATCTAAATTCAAAATCACATATCTATGTGAATTCACCTGTTGTTACTTTTTATTTCTTCATTATCATTAGCTATATTTAATTAATAAATTAGATGATTTATTAAATAATGAGATTATACATTTCCTGTATGCTATAGCGGTAAGCCTATAATCTTCTTCTTCTTTCTTAATTTCAGTCTTGGAAGAGATCCCCTCCAACACAATTAACATTAAGTATCCGTGTCAACTGGTTAAGTGCCATTGATATGCTGTAAGGGGATGGGGTGTGGGGTAAATACTAGGAGAAAAAATGTCTTTTTCTGCCCTTTTTAGCTCCAAAATGCAGTGTATAAGCGTCACATGGTATTTTCATGAGGTCAGCTGCCAAACAAAACGCAGAGAAAGCGCATTTGATTGGTTGACTGCTGACACTATGACATCCTCTAGGGACAGCTGGAAATGTATACTGATATTGAATCACTATTAGCAATAGAAACTTGGCATACAGCCATTCACTATGACAGTAATAATACAGCATCATTTTTTTCATATTTGTTCTCAATTGTTTCTACTGTTTATTCCTAACTTAGCATAACTTTCTTGTGAGTCAAAATCGTACTAGAATCCAAATATTATATGGTTTTAAAAATTATCATACTAACTTCATTCATAATTCATAGTGATAAATAAATATTAAAATAGTGTTTGATGTATGAAAGTTCAATTTTAGTTTTTAGTTAGTCAGACTTTATTTCCTAATCCAAACATTAAATGAAACAATGAGAGTGCAATCCAGTTAGAACCCTCTGATACTTAACTTTTTGACAAGGATAAGACATGACATTTGACAGAGAACATCCAACAGCTTACTGGCTTACTTGAATACTTGTTTTAAGAACAATTTTAGTTTCTTTCAAGTACTTGAACTTGTAGTCTTGTAGTTGACTATTTACGTCTAGACCTAGATCTACTTACTTTTTTGTTTTTTAGTCTTTTTCTTTCTAATTCTAGATCAGAGATCTCGATCTTAGATGTATCTAATCACTAGATTCTAGATCTAGAATAGATTTAATAGATCAATCGCAAGCGGCAATCTGATTTGTGAATCTATGAAGTGAAGTCAATTTCCGAACTATTTCGTGATTGAAAAAGCGAAAGTTAACAAAAGCTTTGAATTACAAGTTGAAATGGATTTGCTGTTGCTTTAAGCATGTTCTAATGACCTAAATTTTCAAAATTTTGAACTAGAAGCATAAGCTAGTAGAGTTTGTAAGAGTTAAAACTTCCGCGGGACACTGGATCGCCGCCATATTGTTTACAGGTTGATAAGCACTTTTCTCGCGAGATTTAACACTAAATGCCTAAAATTGATTAAAATTAAGGAACGCTTCAACACTCATTGAATAATATCACCAATAAGTAATAGTAAAAATATGCATTTGAGATTAAACTTTATTAAAGTGGAGGAAAAAAAAGAGACAATTCAGAAAATATGTCAAACAGATATTTATTTTTTTTAACTGTGTATAAAAATGGCAGTTTAAAATTATGAAAATGTAAATTTTAGAGCTGATAACAAATAAAAGAAAAATCAGAGAATTAAAATGGTCTAGAAATATTTACTATTTACACAAATATTTCCTACAATAAGGTTATCAATAGATGTCCACATAGAGGGGGGAAAGGGGGGGGGGGCAGAGTTGTGCGGGTCCAACAAATTAAATGAATTAAATGCAACATCAATAAAGTTATAAATAACATACAGAATTATGAGTTCCCTTAAACTTCCTCATATATTCTATTATAACAGTAAATGTTAGGATGGCACATCTAGTGCAATAATAGGGCTATAGAAATAATAGGCAAGTTTGAGATGAAACAACTAAACCAATAATTCTTTTTAAAATACAGAGGCGAAAAGGTATTAGAAAAGGAGACTATGAGAGTATGCTTAAAATTATCATTTTTAAAGTTTTAAAAAAATTGGAAGTAGAGTAAATCCTTCAAAAGTTGATAGAAACCGATATATAGGATCGCATACATTTCATCCACCTAACTAAAAGAGACCTTACTTCATTATGTTAACACAAACAAAAATGGATGACGCCCTCACTACCTCTATCCATATATATATATATATATATATATATATATATATATATATATATATATATATATATATATATATATATATATATATATACAAACATATATTCTAATTTTTTTTTAAGGTAATACGAATATAAAATTACCAAGACTAACACAAATATATGTTGCTCCAATTAATATCCAATCTGCTAAACATTCTTTAATTTAAATAATTGTACAATCCAATTATTCAGATAAGTCATTGAGTAGGTCAAAATTCAAAATTTGTACATTATAGATAAAAATATTATTAACCATTTTAGATCTCAGTCATTCAAATATTAGGCTGTACAAATATTTTGTTATATTCATAGAGAAGGCAAGAATAAACAGCAACTGAAAGTATAGGAAAGTTACCCTTTTGACATGACAATCACTGTGACAGATGTAATAGAGTTCACCTGATTTTGTAACCTCAGAGAATGAAAGAATAGCATTCTATTCCCAGCCATTTTATCTTTCCTATCTTGAATCAGGTATCTGTCTCAACACTTTACCAAAGCATATCTTTTTAAATTTGTTACACGTTAAAAAGCTTTTTTCCACCCATTGACTTCATTAAAGCAAATATTATTTCTGGTAGTAGCTCATGTTACAAAATGTTTTTGAGATGAAAGGATAATCATTTGATAAATTTATTTCTTTTTTTTTTTTGTATTTCATTAATGAACATTATCATTTTTTTTTACAAATGTGCTAAGTAGCCCTATAGCCTTAAATATAAAAAAATGTATTAATCACAAGAATTTTTAATTCTCAAAAAATTAAATAAACAAGTTCAGATTTTCAAGTAAGCAACAACACTTAGTACATAAATGATATTTTAAAGTTAAACAGGCTTAAACATTGTACTTGTCATTTTAAAGTTAATTTCATCAAGAATAATTGAAAACTGCTGCAATCTTTCTTGTGAAAAGTTAACATACACATCATCCAACTCAGGCAATGGCTTTGGCTCTGTTAAAGATAGCAGTAATCTGTCATGTTTTTCATTCTATAAATCTATATCATAATATAAATTGATTAAACTTAAGGAGCAATGTCTCTGATCAAAAAAGTTTTCTGATCTTTCAACAGGGAACCAAATGATTTTTAAAGTAAAGCAATGTAAAGATCTTTAACTATTACTAATCTACAAGTATCTTTAGTTTCCTTGTAAATAATTGCTGTATTTTTAACTGTATTATCTTTCCTTATTAATTACCTTCTTCCTCTTTTTTCTTCTCTTCCCTAGGTCTACGTGGAATTCCTGTTGTGCCTTTTGGTCTTCCGCGTTTCTTTTTTCCTTTTAGATCTTTATCCTCTTTCTGCAATATTAAGGTATATAGTGGTTAGCAATACATTTTTTTCTATATGTAGTTGGCAAATATTTATGAAATAGTGATTGAATTTTTTTTTATAAATTTAAATACACTGCAGTCTACTTACAGGCTTTCTCTGTCTGAATGTTCGAGATGCGTATTCTAATTCCAGAGAATTAAAATAATCTGGTCGCATGCGTTTTGTGCGGAACCTCCTTCCAACTTTTTCTATATTTGAATCTGTCTCTGGCGGCGTGCTTGCTGTGGAACTTGGGGTTGTGGACCCTGTGAGTAATATTAAACAATTAAACTTCTATCAGTTATCATGTTTGTAGCATTGTACAATTTTAATAAATCTGATATGTCTAGTAAAAAAAGGTTACATATTAAAAGGGAAAGAATAAGCAGCAAACCTTTTGATTCTTTCAATTCTTTTGTAGATTTATGTGATGTGCTTGAAGTGCTAGCATTTCTAGACTTAGACTGAGCTCTGCTTTGTGGTCTTGTTTTAGAAAAGGTATAGCCACAGTTGGTACAAGCTCTTATTGCAACAGGACACTGAATAAAACATTTAAATTTGTTAAGAAATTACAACGTCAAATATTAGCTATTTTGATATATATTCTAGACTGGCCATGCTCCCTTATGTGGATAAAATAAAAATCTATGTAACAAGTAAAGTCACAGAATTACTATAGGGCCAGACCAACACTTTTACTTTCCCTAATTATGAGTTAGGCACATATCAGAGCTTGGTGAACTCAGGGAGGTTCTACTGACTTGAATCCAGATTTGGTCTCCAGACTTTTGGGTTAGCAGTTGAGTGCCCATCTGCTAGGCTACGCCTTCCCATGCTCTAGTAAGAAGTAAGCCTTAAAAAATTGTTGGCATCCACTAAAGAGGCCTACTTTTTTCTTACTTTTTTGATTTTGCTGATATAAAATAATAATATTCACGTTAACACAAGAATAAAAAGAGCTACTTTCTCGTGAGATCAAAAAATAAATTAAGTCAAAAGTACATTTTACTATTCTTGATTAACAGACTTAATTAGAAACGGGTAATTCTGATTACTAAAATTGACGATGGCTTCAAAATCATTAGTTTTATCCCTCTACCCCTTAATGAAAAACGAAACCACGCCGCCATCTTAGTAGATCTACATCGCTCCGAGAGCTTGCGCAGTGAGATCATATAAACAAACAAACCCAGAAGCCATGAAGCCCCTACTATTATTTATTAATACTAGGGCCTTATTTTTAATTCTTCTAGCAAGAAAAAAAAAACAACATCACTAGTCTTCATTTATTAGTGAAAAGTTTTAATTCAATAGATTAAAAACAGGTACATAGGCCTAACTGAAACAAGGAAACATTTTTGTATTTTTCAAAACATAAATCCTCCTCAAAATGTGAAATAGGCCCTAATTATTAAAATTTAAGGAGTCACCTGTTTTTCACATACTAGTCGCGGGCGATTTTACGTACCTAAAACTATAGATTACCGATTAATGTCCATTTAGATACCAGTGTCCGATAATGGAATCTTCTTTAAAAAATAAAGGTTGTGTTAGTAGTAGGCCTATTGTAATCTCGACTAATTTTATGGTTAGAAATTCAAATTAGGGTTAGGTGTATGGTAGTATGGTAGGACCAGGGTTGGGTGTGGGACAGGGTTACGCCGGGGTTAGCATTGACATTAGCCACCCATGTGTGCTTTGTTAACTACCAGTAACAAATTCTAACACCCCTTTTTTAAAGAAGATCCCAGTTATCAGGGCTTACGGCTTACGGACACCGGTGTAAACATTCTCTCGAATAATTAATGAATAGTGAATTCTACTATTGATATCGAAGATTTAACCTGTTGTTCGCATTCTGGGCATTTCTTAGCTACAGTACGTGATTCTGATCGTTCAACTCGTTTCATTTTCTTGACCATTCCTACTCAAACACAACGAAGATTAATTGTTCACCATTGTTTACAAATTTTGGTTTCTCCAACAACCGAGAAATATAAAGAAATAAAAAAAAACATTTCAAACGCTTTAGGCTTTAGGTACACTTACATTATATATATATATATATATATATATATATATATATATATATATATATATATATATATATATATATATATATATATATATATATATATATTTGAAAAAATATAAGATAAGTGAAAAGAGTATTTTATGGTCAACTTGACGACTCTTTTTAAATAGGGTTTTCACCGTTTCACCCCCCTTCTCCACCATCTATATCGTCACAAAATGCCTTCTAACACTTCAGACACACCCCCCCCCCCGCACCCCATAACTTGGACTCAACTCCAAATACCATAACTGCTAAAATTTATTTTTAAATTGCAAAAGAGTAACATTGCACTTTTTTACCCCACACCCTTCCTCGTGTAAAAGTAAGATGAAGAATGAGATGCACCTGCGACTGATGCCGTCACAGCCGAGTCCATGGAAGTTGACCTGGACACATCTGTGAAGATGCTATACCCACTAAGTGCAAGAATGTTTCCATATTGGTTCTTTTTACTTGACTAAAAGTAAAAGTAAAGTTCCCTTTTAATCCTGACGGTCTATAGTCTATAGGGCAAGTGAAGTAGAGTTTACTTGTTTCGGTGACCTCAGCAAATGAATAGATAGTGTGGTCAGCACTATGCCCAGCCGCCTTTACTTTCCTTAACGTGAGTAAGGTACCCATCAGAGTTGGGTAGATTTAGGGACGGTCTACTGACTTGAACCCGGATTCGAACTCGAGACTTACGGGTTAGCAGTCCAGCTTCGTTCTAGACTAAATCCTGTTTAATCTTTGTGGAGCATAAGGCTTCAGCCATGGCCATAACATTTCATTTTGTCCGAGCCCCGCCGGTTGTTGATTTTGCATTCTTCCAAGATATCCTTGCTGTTTTCAATTCTCAAAGAAACTCCGCCTCAAGGTCTGTCTCGTGCGCCCCTCTGTTTCGTCATCCCTCGGGGTTCTACTCAAGCGTCTGGTGTATCACATTTGAGTGAGCATTTTGCAGTGTATCCCACCCAGCACCACTTCCCCTTCTTTTGGGTTCATCTAGAGAGAATTCATGATTCCTTTGTCTTTTATTTTTAATTTTAAAAAGCTGGAAAAGCTATCAGGCTTCTTGCAAGGTAAGTCTTGTACTGGTGATGTTGTAGTTCTTAGAGCAGTTCTTAGATTGGAATCTAGTAAACATCGTTCGAGGTAAACTCATCGTAAAGCTGAATTTTTACCCTAAGCTTGTAGTTATCATGTTGATACAAGTAATTGCTATAATTCGACAGCCTAGACAAAGAACTCCTTTAAAATTTAACACTACGGCATCCCAAACAACCAACCCATCTCATCCGAATATCGAACTACAAAATGTTTTCCGCATTGCCTATGAGGTTCAAACAGATTTCAGAAACATATAAGTACGAATGCAGTGACGGTTTTTGTAGTTTTCCCTTGCTATAGATACTGTCATGAAGACCTCCTACCTTAAAGTATTACAATGAGATTGCAGCTCTGCTCTGCAGTTTCTTCCAGGCATCTCTTCGGTTGGTGGGGGGTTGGGGGGGGGGGCTCAGAGAAATGTCTACTGCTCCCGAACGAAATATAATTTATATAGAAAATAGATACTTTTCCCCAACATAAAAATTTAATTCGACGTGAGCAGGACATTTCCGCCGCTCCCCCCCCCCCCGTCAATTTCCTCAGATCATTACCCCCTCCCCCAGTCACGTAACTTACCCCGGGTAAATCCCCCCCCCCCCCGCTAAAATGTTATATGTAAAACAAAATCCAAATATACAAATTGAACAATAGAAAATGTATTAAACAATGCTATTGTGATAGGACATGGGGAGTGTACTATTGTGGTACATGAACAGTCCACTGTGTAGTACATGGACAAGATTAGGTAGGACATGGACAAGCTACTGTGGTAGGACATGGGCAGTCTATAGGACATGAGCAGTCTACTGTGGTAGGACATGGCCAGTCTACTGTGGTAGGACATGGGCAGTCTACTGTGGTAGGACATGGCCAGTCCACTGTGTAGTACATGGACAAGATATACTTAGGTAGGACATGGACAAGCTACTGAGGTAGTACAGTCTACTGTGGTAGGACATGGACAGTCTATTGTGGTAGGACATGAACAGTCCACTGTGTAGTACATGAACAAGCTACTTAGGTAGGACATGGACAAGCTACTGAGGTAGTACAGTCTACTGTGGTAGGACATGGAAGTCTACTATGGTAGGACATGAACAGTCCACTGTGTAGTACATGGACAAGCTACTTAGGTAGGACATGGACAAGCTACTGAGGTAGTACAGTCTACTGTGGTAGGACATGGACAGTCTATTGTGGTAGGACATGAACAGTCCACTGTGTAGTACATGAACAAGCTACTTAGGTAGGACATGGACAAGCTACTGTGGTAGGACATGGGCAGTCTATAGGACATGAGCAGTCTACTGTGGTAGGACATGGCCAGTCTACTGTGGTAGGACATGGCCAGTCCACTGTGTAGTACATGGACAAGATATACTTAGGTAGGACATGGACAAGCTACTGAGGTAGTACAGTCTACTGTGGTAGGACATGGACAGTCTATTGTGGTAGGACATGAACAGTCCACTGTGTAGTACATGAACAAGCTACTTAGGTAGGACATGGACAAGCTACTGAGGTAGTACAGTCTACTGTGGTAGGACATGGACAGTCTACTATGGTAGGACATGAACAGTCCACTGTGTAGTACATGAACAAGCTACTTAGGTAGGACATGGACAAGCTACTGAGGTAGTACAGTCTACTGTGGTAGGACATGGACAGTCTACTATGGTAGGACATGAACAGTCCACTGTGTAGTACATGGACAAGCTACTTAGGTAGGACATGGACAAGCTACTGAGGTAGTACAGTCTACTGTGGTAGGACATGGACAGTCTACTGTGTAGTACATGGACAAGCTACTTAGGTAGGACATGGACAGTCTACTGTGGTAGGACATGGGCAGCCAACTGTGGTAGGACATGGACAGTCCACTGTGTAGTACATGGACAAGATATACTTAGGTAGGACATGGACAAGCTACTGAGGTAGTACAGTCTACTGTGGTAGGACATGGAAGTCTACTATGGTAGGACATGAACAGTCCACTGTGTAGTACATGGACAAGCTACTTAGGTAGGACATGGACAAGCTACTGAGGTAGTACAGTCTACTGTGGTAGGACATGGACAGTCTACTGTGGTAGGACATGGGCAGCCAACTGTGGTAGGACATGGGCAGCCAACTGTGGTAGGACATGGACAGTCTACTGTGGTAGGACATGGGCAGCCAACTGTGGTAGGACATGGACAGTCCACTGTGTAGTACATGGACAAGCTACTGTGGTAGGACATGGACAGTCTACTGTGATAGGACATGGACGGTATGTTGCTGTAAACCACGCAAATAACGACATTTTATGATTTATGTACATGAAGTTTCATCTCTTTGGAATATATATTATTATAAATATCCCTATTCTTATCCAAATTCATCTCCTAATCTAACTCTCTTTATTTGACACAAAGGGGGGGGGGTGTCGATTGCCTACTAGGCAGTGTGGTAAAAAGCCAGGGAAGGGGGTGGTAATGTCCTACCCCTCCCCAATATGCCCACTAAATAGATAGTAATGATTTTCACAAGTGAAGCTCCAGTTCACATCCTTAGATACAAACAGCATTGTTGACTTAGTTGTTGTGTGTCACTGAAACTTCGATAATAAGATCAGTGTCATCTGAAGATACCATATGGTATCTCAGGGTATACCATACTGTAAACAATGCTAAAGAAGGGGATATCTTAATGGGACAGCATGGTCAAGCAAAATAGCACGTGAACCTCGAGCCTGTTTTCCAGCCGTGAGCTCGAGCCCTTAGAGTATCCAGATCTAAACAGATCTGATGAGTTTGTGCTCAACACAAATAGTTTTTAAGAGAACCCCACTACATGTGCTCTTTTGGTCATTGGGTCTGAGAAGTGTACTGTGTAATGTAGTAAGGGGACAACATGGTAGGGAGATAGAACCTGCGACTGCTTGCCTGAAAGTCTCGAGTTCAGATCCCAGGCTAAAATCTGCTGGATGTCCGCTGAGTCCACTCAGTTCTAAATGGTACCTGACTTACGTTAGGGAAACTTAGCTAGTGCTGACCATACTATCCTTGTGTATGCAGTGGTTATAGAAACAGATGAGCTCATCTGCTCCATGTGTCTAGGACATGAAAGGCAACAGATGATGATAATGTAGTATAAAGACAGGCAAACCAAAAGAATTAGAAAAACTAATCAACAAAGCCATCTTTATCAATATTATTATAGCTGTTTTATTTACATACCTTAACGAGCACAGTTGAAATAACAGTTTAGTTAAAAATTAAATTCAAAATTTAACAACAAAATAGCATGTCAAAACAACTTCATCAATAAGAATTATATTATTTTAACCAAATAATTATACGAGTAAAACAAGCAATATTTACAAAAATAGTACAATAAAGAGTTTGATATTTATATGGAAACACTGCAAAACAATAAGCAAAAAAAAAATACTTTCTTTTTATAATACGGGAGATGAAGGTAACCTGAATACACTTTGGTCCAACAGAAAGTATTCTCAAGTTAAAGATAGCTAGCTTTAAAAAAAAAGTTATTAAACCATACCAAGGGAGACCGTTTAACAAAATGTGCAATCCACAAAACATGGATTAATTATATAATTTATTTTATTGAAAGAAAACAGAAGAGTCAGGCAGTTCAAGCAAATAGAAACACCAGTATACATTGAAGGTTAACAGAAAATAATATTTGATTATTTTCATTATAGATAAAGCTTGCATAATGGTTTTTAAAAGTAGAGAATTTCAAATGTCAGACCCATTATTATTGCACTAAAAACACTAATTTTACAGACTACCTACAAACAATAAAAAAAAACAACCTCAAACATTAAAATTATCAGAAAAAAATAATTCCCAATCTTTAACTGACCATAACATAAAATGATACACAACAAGATGAATCACCAACTAAAATGACTTTTTAAATTATTTGAATTGAGGAAGAGAAAAGTTGTACAGCCCTTTGTGGCCTGTAAATTCAGGTCTAAGAGATTTTGAGTTCAGCAATAATGGGCAACTTGAATCAATTGGTGGGAATGTAAAACAAAAAAAAATGATTTTTTAATTTTAAAATTTGCCCACCAGCGCATCAAACTTTTCCTCAAATTTTATGTACAGAATAAATTAAAGCAGAGCTGTTCTGTATTCAATGACAAAGTATACACATTTGTACAATGTATTAGATAATTGTACACAAGCTTTATTACATAAAAGTCTGGCTTGAGCTTTAAGACAAATTTTAATGATTTTTAGATGCATAAAAAACCCTACCTAGTATCTATTTTATATTTAAAGATAGTTTAAATTAGCAACGGGACACATATCAAGTGGAAGACAAAGTCAACTACAATGGTGCCTCTTCAATGGTGCCAGATAAATATTGTTGTCTATAGAAACATGAGAATTTAACCCACTAAGTTTAGGTCAGTAACAGAGTTTTTAAAATAAAAAAAATTTCTTATGGCTAAAAAAAAAAAAGAGGCACAGCATTTTCTGACCAATAATTTTATTCCTTGAAAGTATCCTGAAGCTAAACAATTCTAGAAGCCCCATTGTTTTCTATATTATATTAGATCTATGCCAACTAAAAATGTAGTTTTGGGGGGAAAATGATTTTTTTATTGAAGAAAAACAAAGTTGTCCAAAAAGTTTTAATAATAAAAAAGAACTAATTTTGTTAACATTCTTCCAAAAACAATTGTATTTAAAAAGGTATGGTGATCTCTTTAATTCTGGTGAAATTAATAATAGTGATACAAATAAATAATAATACAAATATATTTTTTATAAATTGTAATTAAAAAAAAATATAACAGAATAAAATTTGAAAATAATCTCTTGAAGGTAATGTTTAAGCAGTCAACTGTTTTGCTTTGCCTGTTTTTCTAAAACAGCAGATCTGACATTTTAACTGGACAACATGACTTTACACTGTCTGTAAACAAACGTAAGCACTAAATATACCCTTCTCATTACACTTGGAACTGAGAAATTAATTTGAAGAAGTCACAGCCATATCCACCTATAATAATTTTAATGGAAGGTTTACACCTATACATTAATGTGAGAATTGATTTCAATATATAAGAGATGTAAAAACAACTGTTAAATGAAAAATTGCTTTGCATTTGGTTACAATCAGTTTTAAGAATATTACTTTACTGCTGCAATGTAAAAAAAAAAAAAAAGTATGTTTACATTTTACTAAATCTTAATAATATTTGGTAATAAAATTTTAAACATGAGTAGTTAAATGCTTAGAATAACTGGCAATTGTTGTGCTTTTAAATTTTAGGTCACAAATAGTTCAGTCCAAAATAAGATCTTCAATTTTTTTCCATGTAAATCTTCAAAATTCAATGAACATTTGTAAGATTTGAGCTCTAATTTCACAGAACTACTGATTGTTTCTATAATAAAAAGTATAATTATTGCTTATGGGCTAGTGTCCATATTCTAGAATTGTAAGTTTTTACAACCAAATTAGCATTGACACAGTTATAAAAGCATACTTCTATTCCTACACATTAGAGTGCAATATAAATATATCTAGACAAAATGTATTAACACAACTGACTACATATTTTATGTCACTTTACCAGTTTTGATGAAGCGCAAAAGAAATGTACAACTGTTTTGCTTTATAAATATGCTTATAGCAGCAACTAAATTCACATTTTAAGGTCCAAGTAACAGAGAATATAAGACAAAGCATCCATAGTTATTTGGAACCCATGCACAACATCAATTAAATGCATTTTCCTTTTTCCCTACAAAGTTCAAGGTAAAAATTTAAAAAATCCAGTTGAAAGCAAAGGAACAATAAAACTGGTTATTACACAACTACAATTGCTCTTAGTTCTAGTTTCAGATCTCTGAGATCTGTGAGTTTATACAACCACTTACAAATTATGAACTGCCATTAGTTTTTTTTAAAAAAGATAATCCACAATGAAATCACAACTTATTTCCCCATGCTCCACTTAGGTGCAGGAAGGCCAGTTTAATCCTCCACATGACGCTGATATAATAAAGTAGATCACAACCTGTTGATGAAAAAGTGTGGAATTAGTTACAGCTGCGACTGAAATTAATGGTGTTTATGTTTTGAAAAGCGAAATATTTATACTTACTATTATAACAATACCAATGATAACAAGAAGTTTAGCATTTTTCCACCACAACGAACGAGCCAAATTTCGACTTGTTTTTCTGAATGAAACTGCCTGAAATACAATTTTTGAAACAAAATGATAATCTACTTTAAAATTATAGCATAAATTTTATCATCAGGGTTTTAAAAATAAATAAATTTTTTTTAGATACATAATAATTTTTAAAAACAAAATGCTAGTTCAATTACATTTGCACTAAGATCCTCTGATTTGTCAACAAGTAATTCTAGTTTTTCACCTCTTTCTGCAAGTTGATCTGAAATAAAAAAATTATAATTCTTTTAAAATATTAACAAAACAAAAAACTAATAGCAAAAAAAAAGAGGACAGTGTAAGTGTTAGTATATATTTTAAATAATTCAAGTGAAAAGAACCCCAATTTAAACTCTAATCTATTACTACCAAACAGATATATAAGTAATAATTAATCAAGAATAGAACTTATTTTTAAGAAATATGTAATCAATTTTAGACGGAATTACAGGAATAAGAATTGTGCTATTTAAAATTTAATTCCCTTACCGATATTTTTGACCATAATTTCCTTTAGTTCATCAACCTGGTCTTGGACTTTGTTGAGCTGATCAGGTCTATCTTCAGAAACACTTCTCTACAAATATATTTAAAAAGTAAAATAAAAGTAATTTTTTTTTTTGTGTACCAAATTATACACATTCAATTTATCTAAAGTTGTGAACAACTAAATGAATGCGTTTAAATATGTTATGATATGAAACTTTATTGGTCTTCGCTTATTTTACATGGAACGGAAATATAGATGTAAACAATTTTAAAAATGCTACGTACCATCTGTGATGCCATTGTCCGTGAAAAGTCACTGTTCATGGCATAAGGAAGTGCTGTTTGGGCCCTCACCCCATATTGTGCTTTAAACCTGTTAATGGAAACAGTCATTTTTGAAAAAAAATATTCTGTGTAAAAAGTTTGTGTAAAATGATAGTGTGTAAAGCTGTTAGGGCAAAATAATGCTTACCTTCGCTTAATCTCATTTAAAAATAAAAAAGCCTTTGACCTTTCAAAATCCTGAAATCATAAAATGAATAAAGGAAACTATTTTATATTGTCAAATAACGCAAAGTGCAAGTAGTCATCATGGTGGGAATGGCATACTTTTGATAATAACATTTATGCAATTATTTTATTCACTATTTCAAATTCTCAGTATACTTTATTGAAATGACAAACTTTAAAACATTATTTAGTTTAAAAAAACTGTGTATTCAGGTAATCGTAACAGCAATAATGCTTAGTTAAATCTACAGAATTTCCTATAAGCAAACAAGAATCAGGAAATAACTCACATCATCTGTAATACAAAGATAAACTATTCTGTCCTCTGTGACGTAGTGAAACAAATAACTGTTGGAAATAATACAATACATTACAACTCTAATACAATTGTGTTTTATAAACTTAAGATATATGTTATAATTAAAGTACGACATTTAGCCATTACAACTTCTTAGTCATTAATAACAATGACTTAGGCAGTGCATTAATTACCATATTATAATTAAAATAATATTCTATTGATCTTTATGAGATATATATCCATATATATAAATACAAAAACTATTAAATCATGATTGTTGCAAACCTTCCATGTGAATATGTCAGCTTAGAATTCTCTTGAGGTATTTTCATCAATATCTGATCAGTGACTTCAGTAAAATTTCCAGCACAGCTAGCATACTTAGCAAGGACAGTAGTGCCCCTGGCAACCACTGAATATAAAATAGGCATTCTTCTGTGTAGAGAAATTAAAATTTCAGTTTGAACAGCCTAAAGAAAATATAATTAATTACTTGTATTCAATTTATTATTGATGACTCATCAATCCCTTCATAAGCTGAGGTCACAGAAACTCATGAGCTGAATTTCCTATCCCCAAATGACCATCATGTCAAAGTGTTTTGTTTATATTAATGACACATTATTAAAATAAATAGTGCTATTGTTCATCAGAAATTATGTTTAAAATTGTATACTTCAACAAAAGAGAGGAAAAATGCAGACATCCAGAAATTTAGTTTTTTAAATGTAAAAAAAAAGTATTTTAAATAACCTGTAAAAAAAGTCTTTTGATTAAGGGTAATGAACCTAGGTTACTGTTTAGAGATGTTGAGGTGGTTCTATCGCATTTACTATGCAGTGTTGAGTGTAACCAGGTCTTTAAACATCACAGTGCTGCTTTCATTTTATTTAGTCTAGCCCTAGCTTGGTAAACTTCATCTTAAGGTCTAGGTTATTCACAGATGGCTGGAGTTGTATTTTGGGGCTTAAGACGCAACAGCTTCAATATGACTATTCCCAAATGACTATCATTTCATGTAATATATTTCTAAGAATAATATCAATCTTATAATAACAATAGCATTTAATTCATCATCATGACTGGGGAAAAGAGAGCAACGTTATTTTTTATATTGTGTAACACTTTTTATAAGAAAAAGTTTTAGTATTAGGTATAAGGATTGATTAGTTAGGATTTGAGTTTATATGCTAGGTAAATGACTAGGCCTAATCTTATTTAATTATTAATTATGTACTATAGGGCCTATATGTAATTGGCCTAATTAGTAATTAGTATTAGAAGACTAGATTACTAAGATTAGAGTATTAGCATTAGTCCTGATTATTATTAGGGCTTAATAAAATAATCCAAATGTCAACCTGCCGTGCCGAATATAAAATATATATACATAGTACATACATAGTATACTAGTATACTACTATAGTCTATAGCAGGGGTCTCCAAACTTTTCAGTCCGAGGGCCGCATTCATTAACTATCAAATTTCAGTTCGGGGGCCAGTTTCTTCCAGGCATGTCTTTGATTTTTCTGGGCAAAGTTCCTCAACAATAACCAACAAACGATTTTTCTTTGGACAAAAATATCTCCACGGGCTGGATAAGAGGACTTTGCGGGCTTCATCCGCCCCGCTGCCGTAGTTTGGAGACCCCTGATCTATAGTAAAGTAAAAAATAGTAGGTCTATAGTCTATAGTCTATGGACTATTGGTGATAGATCTATTCTACTAGTAATTAAATCAACATTCATGATTGATAGGCCTAAGAAAAAAAATTCCAAATCAACTTTTCTTTTAACTCTGTGCTTTCGATAAATAATTTAAATTTAGGCATAGGCCCTAAAAAATTAAAATATGATAGGTCAGGTAGATCTAGATCAGTAGATCAAGTCTTTTTTTTTCAAATAAAAAAAAAGTAGGCCTAAAAGTAAAAGTTAGATCTAGATCTAGAATAGTAGTTAATAAAGTTATTGCAATTTGTCGTTGGTTGATGATTTGATTGTAAGTTCAGATGTAAACTGAAAAATAAAGTTTTTTTTATAGACTAGACTAGACTCTAGTATTTTTTAGGTTTTAAGTTTAGTGATTTGATAAGTGTTTCACTGAGATTCACTGATTGTGACTGTTTGTAGTTTCTATCTAATTAACTAAAAGTCTAAATCAGACTAGAGTCGTGATACTCTGTCACTGTTTCAACTGTCTGGTTGGTACTCTGGTGGCCCGGGTAGTAATAGTCCAGTTCTGAGTCAAGTAAATAAATAACTCTGACTCTAGTGATCTAGTGATTTAACCTAAATTATGATATGTCGATACAGATCTTCAAAAGCTTCTGTTTAATATAATATAGGCTATTATAGACTCTAGATCTAGATCTAGATATTTAAAAAAAATCACCAATTCACACTCGATCTCTAAAACCAAAACGTCTATACGATTTTCTTTCTCAGAAAATATGTTTTGTTTACAAACATGGAAATGACGCATGGTCACATGCTAAATTTATTTACTGCGCAAGCGTATTTCAGTAAAGTAGTAAAGTTAACTTTATTTTTAAAAGATTTCGATCCGGTTTGGTGATTGCTTGGCGACTGTAAACAAAGTACTATCAAAGTAGACTACCTAGATCGTAGCAAGAGAGAGTTTGTTGATGCAGACTGTTGCATTTAAAAATTTATATCGACTGAAAGAATAATATAAATGAAGTAAATATTCTGGTTTGATTACATTTTTAAAGAAATGGCAACCGGACATATTTTGCCAGGTTATGGAGAACCTGTATCACGACTACGCAGAGTGCGGTCTGCAGGTTTTTATCCACTGGATAGTACCGCTCTTCAAAATCGTCATAAGGACTTTCATTTATCACCCCAGGAATTCGAAGAGATAAAAGAAAATGCCAAAAGGCTATGGAATAGCCGAGCACAAAAGCCTACAACTTATGAAACTTTTCACAATGGTGGAGAAATTAACGAACTCACACAAGCCAAATCTCGACCATCGTCAAGTGATCGGCGCAATAATCCGCATCCTCCACAGTAAGTACAGATCTATTCTAGAATCTTGATTAGTAACTATTTACTAAAGTATTTACTACAGGTGGGTATCTCTTGTAGACTTGTAGTAGATTCTAGTAGACATTGTTGACCCCGTTGCTTAAAAAAAAAAGCCATTTATTATTGTAATGTCATTATTATTATTAGTATTAATTAATTCAATTATCTACTTTTTAAGAAAGTTGCAACCTTTCACCATTGGCACTGACAGAAAAGGGAAACAATCAAAACTCTTTATGAAATCCTGAAGGACACAGCAGTCAATTTTTAAGAAAACTCTAAATCAACCCTAGGTTTATTTTTTTTTCTAGGCTTAATAATAATATAGTCATGTGTCTTCTTTCTGTGATACCAGCAGGAAGAAACTTCAGTATGATACTGTGTTGACCTACCAGCATTTAAATCTTTTTTTGCCTCCCCTTGAAGGTGCATCTTATGGGTTTAGAAACCACCACTCAAACAAAAGCCAGTACACTATCATTTTAACTCAATTTCAGAGTTTTCCTGACTACAAGACTTCGTTATATAGAAGGAAATCCCAATTTAGACTCGACAATAAGGAAAAATCCATCTCTTTGTGAGTAAATATATATTTTACAAATTTCAAGCTATATCTGTTTTCCATTAATTAAAGTGGGATATAGAAAATAAAAAATAAATATTTTTCCTATTTATTAAGGTCAAGTTTTGAAAATTACACCAGAGTACCTGGCACAAAATGATCCTGCTTTGTTGAGAGTATATAAAGACCCATATGTAAGTTAATATTTTACAGTATTTTATTTTGATATAGTAGATTCTGAAAATTGTATGTTTTTTTATGAACTTGATTAAATAACCCATAAATAAATAATTCATGTATTCGTATATATGTAAAGTGATATAAGCAATCATCATCATCATAAGCAATACAATCTTAAAATTAATTACATAATCTTAGGGCTTCAAGCAAATCCTCCCTCCAAAAGAAGCACAGGCAGCTGAAGCTTGGGTAAAATTGGCTGATGATGTAGGTAAGTTCTGGTTTACGGTCTCGTCTTAGTAAGAACCATTTAATTTACTTATAAAATCTTTCAAAGAAACTTCAAAAGTAATAATAGTTAAGTAATTTAAAAAAAGAAGTCACAACTGTTTTTGTATTTCCAGATCATGAAAGAGTTTATGACATAGTGAGAGACCATGAAGAGACAAGGAAGCTACAGGTAAATAGGCCTACTAAGACATAATTTCATAGCTCAATACAATGTAATCCTTTTAGCTCTTTACAGGAGTAGCAACTAAAATTGATTTCACACTTAATGAATTAACCTAAGACCTTGCTTAATTGTGCTATTTTTATAAAATCAATAACATGTTGTGTCACAAAGCATAATTTATCATATTTTTGGTGTACTGTTCTAAACTTTCAGGAAACTGCAAGAGTGCAACGTCCTAAAAGCTCATACCCTTCTCTTCATAGATGGATGAAAAATAGTGGAGTTGATGGTATGAAACAGAGAAATTAACCATATAATTTTAACCTTGTTTGCTTTATTTTAAGAAAATATTTTCTTAATGTTTATATATACTTTGGATCCAATAGAAAAGTATTTGTAAAAGACCATTTAACATGTTCTCAGTATTATGCTGTTTACATTTTCAGAATACAATGTAACTTCCAGAATAATGCAAACACTGAGGTCAGATCCCTTGCGGGATCACCCACCATGTGATTACAATCCACATATTAGAAGCCAGTATCAATGTTTACCCCATCTACGCCGAGGTGAATACAGCATGCATCCTGATTGGCCATCAACACTTCCTCATCATAGAGTTCCTTAAAATGACAGCTCTATTTTGATAACTGGTAGTTATTTGTACTTAGTGTAGAGCTTAATTATGCATAGCTTCCTCAGATATATTAAAGACTGTCTCAATGACTGACAATAATAATTAAAAATAGAACAAATTCCATTTTTATGCGAAGATGGTTAATGGTGTAGAATATCAATTCCACCAATTTTGTTGATGCATTTCTCAAACAAGCTCATTCTAAGTTTTTCTTAGCTCACAATGCTCATCTGTGAGTTGGTGGATAAATCTTGAGCCACTTATCTTTCAAAGTATGTTTATTTCCTATAACAATGAAAGAATATCTAATATTCATTCTTATTAGATATTAAATGAAATTTTAAAGATCGAAAGATATTCAATAACAACAAATGAGATATAGGAAGTAATGGCTCTTCTACCTTTCAGGTGAAGAGCAGATGACTTAAGTGATGTCAGGTACAAAGCTAACATTTTTTGAGGGGCATTGACTCAAAAACAAATGAGCTTATAAAGAATATAGAATTGATTTTAAATTATCTAATTACTAAAAAGTATATTGATAAAACAAGTGTTATAAACTTCAAAATGCACTAAAAGTAAAAAGAATATACCTTTCTTTAGATAGAAATAGAATAGTAACCAATGTCAAAGTGTTAATGAGATTTTATAAGGTTTTAAATGTAACAATTGTTTTTATTTGGTATTGTGTAGCTGTTGATTTCATTACGTAAGTTATTGTTCAGCATTTATAGTGGCACGGGAATACACAATTTATTTCTTACTTTCACTGGAACAAAATAAGGTACTTATTGCTGGACAGACAGAAGAAATGAGTACACCTACAATTCTAGCACATGAAGAGATGTAATGCCATTTTTTTTTAAAATAAAAAAATACATGAAATAAAACTATTAACTGTTTTTAAAATATTTATTTTACTCACTGCAATGTTTTTAGAAATATCACTTTACATCTCCAGAAGAACATGTAAACATTTATAGTAAGTAGACAGCAATTAAATGAAAATGGTTTCAATTAGGGTCATTCCCTGAATTAAAATAAAGGAAATCTTGGAATTGTTTATTAAAATCTAAATTTAAAAAAAGCAATCATAATATCTAAACCAATTAATATCTACTGCTACTATTTTCTTCAAGGCCATGTATCATTCAAGGCACACTAAATTAACTTTAAAGACTTCATTCGGTAAACTTAGGTTAGTGCAATGGTTTATTTAAACTTAGTTGTATACAAAATGCTACACTAGTGCAGTGAGTATCATCTCACCTGCTTATTTCATCTATGAAAATGAATTTACTTAAAAGATAGGATAAACCCCCCTCCCCCATGCAAAGGTGCAAAAACAATTCTTTAAAAGTTAAAGCATTTATTTAAAAAAATGTTGCCTTCACAGACTGTTAAAAAAATAATAAAACATTGGAATGAGAGCAGCTTGCTTTTGCTTAAAATGTGGGCAACAGAGGCAACATACTCATGCAGCTTTGATCCTTGTTATAATATATATGGTACTAAAATCTAATATTTACAAACGATAATTGTTTTTACAGTTTTAGAACACATTCTAAAAGTTGGTGAAATATTCCAAAATAACATCCTGATTATAATACCAAATGAAAGATAAAATAGCTCTGAAAGATTTCCAATGTGGATTATAAATACACAAAATTTAATACATAAAAAAAACAAGAGCTTAGAAATGTTTTCATTGAAGCCATTGAATAATAAACTTTAGAACTGGTGAAAGAAAAAAAGCAAGCCATGACAAATACAATAGTACAAAGATTTATTTTTAAGAAATTTGTTAACTAGAATTTAGAAATTTGCAAATGTAAAAGATTTACATGTCAAAACTTTAAAATTCAGTTGTATCAAAATTTTTAAATAACTGATAAAATTGCTGTATTTTTGTACAGACAAATTAGAAACAGCTAAGTTATAATGTATTGTATTCAAATAAAATGTTTAAAAAGTAATTGTGCAGACTTTTAAGGTAGACAAAATTTAAAAAGTAGAATTGATAATTCCCTATTTTTATTATTACTAAATTTCAGAACTGATAATGGAAATTCATGAAAATAATTTTTTTTTCTCTAAAATGTAGTTTTTACAATTTAAAAAAAAATGAAAGACAGATTTACTTGAAATGATTATACGGGAAACGAAGAACATTTATACATTTCCTCTTCATTCTGTGTGTATTAAATTTGTTAAAAAAAATGTACATCCAATAATTTATTTTACAAAATATATAGAGCCTACCATACAGTGTATGAGGATTGTTCTTAACTTAAAAAAAAAAACATACTTTTTAGAACTTTGCTTCAAGGTTTTGGCACTCAAAACAAAATTGGACAGTTTTATTTTTATACGGTTAAGGGAGGAAAACTAAAATTTCTGAAACAAACAATTGAGGGAGTAGTAATACCTTAACCAAGTAAGATAAAGACCACTAATAATAAAAAAAACCCAAAGCACATAAATAGGATTTGATATGGGTAGCTAGAGAGAAGACTACATCAATTATTTAAGCATCATATTTCTTGAATGAATGGAGACAACTTTTGTCTAAATTAACCTAAAATGACGAATGTGTCCACTGAGGCGAGCCCACTCGTACTTTACTCTGACATACTGAATTGATCCTCTGACGAAAAGTAAAAAGCCTGAAAAATATAACATTTTATATCAGTAATCTCAAAAGGCTTTTTTAAATTGAATTTTTAATTTGCAATAAATTTAGTTTAACTAATTTTGTGTTTAGTGTTTGTCTAGCAAAGAAGCACATTTTTTATCCAAAATCTACACATACTATTTTGTATTTTCCCACCAGGTTTAAATAATAAATATAATAAAGGAAAAGTTATGCTGATGTGTTATACTTTATGATGGTTAACTTAAAGATGATCTTAAATTTTACTGCTTCAGAAGTAAAATTTAACAAATTTAATATGCATTTAGTGTAAAAAATAACTTGTCTTTTTCTCCAATCTTGAATCAAACTACTCCCAAAATTACAAAGTAATTAATTTTATTATAAAGTACTATACTACTATATAGAGCTGGACTGCTAACCCGTAAGTCTCGAATTCGAATTCAAGTCAGTAGACCGTCCCTGAGTCCACCCAATTCTGATGGGTACCTAACTTAAGTTAGGGAAAGTAAAGGCGGCTGGGCATAGTGCTGACCACACTGTCTCTTCATATGCCAAGGTCACAGAAACAAGTGAACTCTACTTCACTTGCCCCATAGACCGTCAGGTTTGAAAGGGAAACTTTACTTTACTATACTACTATAGTATAAAAGATAAGTAACATATCTAACCTTCTGAAGTGTGGCTCTAAATAAATTATATAGTGCAACACCACAATTAGATTTATTGGGCCCAATTCTTCTCTAACAACCATACTTAATAATTTCATTTGCTGAATCTATAATCAACTCACCACAAAGAACTAGAAGCCACCACAGCCAAGAATCTGCATCTGCAACATTGTTGCCCCAATTGTTGTGCTGAAAAAGAAATAGTTACCATTCAGCATGTTACATATACTACTACATATAACAAATCAATTTAAAAATACATTTAGCATTTGTTTACATGTTGAAAATACTGTATTTACCTTCACAATGACCACCCATTTGACTATGGATAAGCCGAGCCCTGATAGAGCACCACATCTCCCAGCAACGGTGTTTGATAAGCAGAGAGACAGTAGGAAACCAAGCCAGTTGAAAAGGAAGGAAACTGTGGAAATGGTTTGATATTAATCAGAGGGATAATACATTTCAAGTTTCCAATAACATTTATTACCTCATCACAGTTATTCCACATTTGTATTGGTCAATTTAAATATTTTCCAAAAAACATTGTTTAATTAAACCTTTTTACTACCAACATAAGGTAAGCAAAACACACACACACACACACACACACATATATATATATATATATATATATATATATATATATATACTAGGCATACTGCCTAGCTTCGCTTAGGTTTTTAAATAACATTTGAGAATTTGAATACTTAATTATTTAGCGATGGATTGGGTGTGGAGTGCTTTAATTTAAACAGTAATGCTAACTTTAGAAAAAAAATGTTTTTGATTGTCATTTATATACCGTTCTCAGAGAAATATTGGAAAGTACGCAATGTATAACTAAAATGGAATTAGAACTACACAGGTTCCATGAACAGTACATCTCATAGTTTATATTACATTGCCTTTTGAAATTTATTTATTTATTTTATTTGGATACGTAACTGAATTAACAACTTAATTTTGTACTAAAACAAATGCTATACTTCGTCATTTTCTGTTTGTTTAAAATAGTATACAATTATTTGAAAAATAATAATTTAAAAAACGTTACCTCCCTTGAAAACTGAACGTATGACGTATGTCTTTTTTTTTTTTTTTTACAAACAGTTGCTATGCTTATATAAGAAATTACGGTATATGAACATATTTAACGACTATTATGGCTGTTTCCGACGGGAATAAAGTTTTTTTGTTACCCTCCAGGGTCGGTCTACGACGTCACATAATATTAAGGGGATCGTTCGTCAATTTATTTATATATATATCTCATATAAGGAGAATTTCACTCAAGATCATATTTTAGCCCTCGTCGAGGGCTTTAAGTCTGACCAACAGTTTTTCCATACGGCCTAGTCATCTATAGTAGTGTATGCAAAAACTTAGCATGATGTACAGACGTTAAGTAACCTAAAAATTGTGTTAAAATTTCCCTGTTTTTCCCATAAAATACAAAAATTATATAGGGAAATACAACTGGTCAGTTTTGACCGCTTTACGAAGTTTTCCCAGATATGCCGAGTTTTTTGTGACACCCCTAGGTGTTCTTCTACCACCTCACAAAATATCAAGGGGGGTCGTCGGAGGAAATTTTTTTTCGTAATAGAGCTCATATAAAGAGAATTCCACTCGCGGTCACTTTTTAGCCCTCGTCGAGGGTTTTGAGTGTAACCGACAGTTTTCCCTAAAGGTCAAGCCATTGACCTAGGAGCATGCAAAAAAATAGCCAGATATACTGAGCTTAAGTACCCTAAAGTCTGCGTTGAAATGACCCTCTGTTTTTCTCATAAAATACAAAGATTATATAGGGAAATACAACTGGTCAGTTTTGACCGCTTTACGAAGTTTTCCCAGATATGCCGAGTTTTTGTGTGACACCCCTAGGTGTTCTTCTACCACCTCACAAAATATCAAGGGGGGTCGTCGGAGGAAATTTTTTTTCGTAATAGAGCTCATATAAAGAGAATTTCACTCGCGGTCACTTTTTAGCCCTCATCGAGGGCTTTGAGTGTAACCGACAGTTATCCCTAAAGGTCAAGCCATTGACCTAGAAGCATGCAAAAAATTAGCCAGATATACTGAGCTTAAGTACCCTAAAGTCTGCGTTGAAATGACCCTCTGTTTTTCCCATAAAATACAAAGATTATATAGGGAAATACAACTGGTCAGTTTTGACCGCTTTACGAAGTTTTCCCAGATATGCAGAGTTTTTTGTGACACCCCTAGGTGTTCTTCTACCACCTCACAAAATATCAAGGGGGGTCGTCGGAGGAAATTTTTTTTCGTAATAGAGCTCATATAAAGAGAATTTCACTCGCGGTCACTTTTTAGCCCTCGTCGAGGGCTTTGAGTGTAACTGACAGTTTTCCCTAAATGTCAAGCCATTGACCTAGGAGCATGCAAAAAAATGGCCAGATATACTGAGCTTAAGTACCCTAAAGTCTGCGTTGAAATGACCCTCTGTTTTTCCCATAAAATACAAAGATTATATAGGGAAATACAACTGGTCAGTTTTGACCGCTTTACGAAGTTTTCCTAGATATGCCGAGTTTTTTGTGACACCCCTAGGTGTTCTTCTACCACCTCACAAAATATCAAGGGGGGTCGTCGGAGGAAATTTTTTTTCGTAATAGAGCTCATATAAAGAGAATTTCACTCGCGGTCACTTTTTAGCCCTCGTCGAGGGCTTTGAGTGTAACCGACAGTTATCCCTAAAGGTCAAGCCATTGACCTAGAAGCATGCAAAAAATTAGCCAGATATACTGAGCTTAAGTACCCTAAAGTCTGCGTTGAAATGACCCTCTGTTTTTCCCATAAAATACAAAGATTATATAGGGAAATACAACTGGTCAGTTTTGACCGCTTTACGAAGTTTTCCCAGATATGCAGAGTTTTTTGTGACACCCCTAGGTGTTCTTCTACCACCTCACAAAATATCAAGGGGGGTCGTCGGAGGAAATTTTTTTTCATAATATAGCCCATATAAGGCGCCGGTCAGTCGAGGTCAGTTTTGACCCCCTCTCCGTAGACTTTTCGGCCAACCGTCACCGGCCCTCGTGTTCTATCGCCCCAAGGCACCATTGTACAAAATTTGACGCGCCTGCGGCGCCGGGAAGTGCCCTATCGGGCACCCGACAACTTTGCTTTATATATATAGATATATATACACACACACACACACACACACATATATATATTACACATTAACTTATTAGCTTAAAAAATATGTAAACTTTAATTTTTTTAGTTTCTTCTAGGCATCTCTTCCATACAAAATAGAATTTATATAAAAATTATATAGTTTTAGTAGTGTGTGTAACTCCCCCCCCCCCCCCCCCCTAAAAGAAACACTGTTCAAATCAATACACTTTTAAAAATGTCTAACTAAATAATATTTATGTAAATAACATTAATATTTAAAGTGGAAAATGGTTTTTAGCTCACTCAAGAATGTGCAAATGAACATCCCATCTGTGCCAATAGCTATTTCAGGTATACCATCTGACCCTGTCAGCTATAAAAAATAAATAAAAATGTATAAGAAGAGGCAAAGACTGCTGAACTAATTAAAAACATTTTTCTTTACTTAAACGATAAAGTAAAAATAATAGACTAATAATCATTTAAAACACACCCTTCCGCCTTCACATTCAGAAAGTGTCGGACCACTTGAGACAGCAGCAGCTTCCTGCTCCAGCTTAGACCTCTCTGCCTCTTCATAGGTGGGTAGAGTTGTGGCATCCAAGTAATTAGGCAATTTAGCTGGACCATAAGCTGGAATATCTAAAAAGTAGAAAAATGAATTTTTAACTGTTAAGTAATACAACTACTTAAAATAAAGTTGGCCTAGATCCATAATATTTATACATAATTTTTTGTTTGTTTGTTACCAAAGTAATTTGTATACTTTAAGAATAACATTTATGGGGGAAGGAGGTGTTTTTATCAGTGAGATCAATACAAAAAAAAACATTTTAAAAAGTAATGACACTCAATCTGTTATCTCATGTCTAATCAGGAGCGCAAGCTAAGTAGAAATTATCTTTAAATGACTTGAACTTTGGCCTGTTATTGTCATGCATCAATATGCTTTGTCATGATAAAAGAACTGGGACAATATTAACTTCAGTCTTAACCTAGAAACTTAAACTGTTCAAAAAGCCTTTGCAATGAATACTGTTTCTTTTTGGGCTGGGGAATATTAGCAATAACAATGACCATCTTTACCACTGGTACCTATGTACACACTTAAACTATTCATTCAGAGAAAAACAGTATAAGATTTTTTTTTTTACAAATAAATATTGCACATGCTATGAATTATGGTGAATATTTACCCCCTTGCTGCTCCATGACGGCACTTTCAGTATATCCTGGTGGTGGTATAATCATAGTCATTGCTACTGGTTCTGCTGGGACATTCTGTTCCTCAGACGGAAGCTAAAATAAGTTGTAATTACACTTTCTAATTAACTTAAATCTCAGTAAAAATAATAAAGTTATTGAGTGACAATAATAATGCAACACTTAAGAACTTTAAAGTATTCCCTAACTCCTAAAAAAAATAACCTAATTTCCAGCTTTAATTTTATTATTGCTTTTATACACATGAATGTGGTACTGCACTCAGTTTTAACTTCTTAAAATTTAAACTGGTACCTTCAGCTAAAACATTTGTTTTTGGGAAGGTCTACTTTATGGAAGCCTATGGGCTTGATTAAAAATTAGGTTGATTTTAAATCAAAGTAGCGTATATTTGCATGGGAGATATAGTCAGACTAGCTAGATTTTCATTCATCCCAGTTAGGACTCCATACTCCAGCAAGTAACCCAAAATAAAAAAAAGGTCCAGACATAATCATAATATGATATTTAAGTTAGAGTTAATTTCTTCTCTGTGACAGACTATTAACCATTAATGTCCCATTCATTCTACCAAAACTCCACCCATGACGGCCCAATGTAAGGAGCATAACTCTGTATGATCAAGTGAATAGTTTCACAAAATATTTGTTTTTGTCTAAATGAAATTGAAAATTAAGATAAAAACTACTGCTTAATGTTGGGAATAAACCTGGCTTTCCAACAGTATTAAATAGAATATATTATATTCGGTAAAAGTACAGTAAAAAAATAAAAAATGTCGGAGAAAATTCAAAACAGGTCATTTTCGGTAGTCAACTTTATTTATTTTTGTCTAAACAACTAAGCATCGAATTTAACAGTTAAATATCAATTTGGTTATGTTTAAGATAAATAATTCATAAAATACATGCCTAGATACGTTTAGAGGCATTATTTTATTTTATTTTTAACATTAAATCAACTAAAAAAAGGACAGATGAGTCTAAAATTTCGAGATCGAAAGAAGCTATTATTTTTTATCTTTCAAAAGCGCCATTGAAATTATAAGACCGGAAAAGGATACTGAAACTATCCGACTTCCTGTTTAGTTAAAAATTAGGATTTGTAGGCCAAATTTTAATGAAACAAATTTAATTTTTCTATGCGTATTTTAAGCGGGCGGCAGCGGGCGTTACGGGACATTAACGGTGTCGGGCGGCAGCGGGCGTTACGGGACATTAATGGTTAAATAAAAAATTTAACACAAATAAATTAGACTAGTGTGTACAGGTAACCAACATATAAGTTAAATCAGTAACACCACAGTCATCAGTTTTCAAAAAAACCTCATTAATTAAGCTAAAGATTAAAAAATAGACTATTAAAATAAAAAATTATCTTTAAAAAGATGCTTCAGCATTCTAACAACATTAATTAAATTATACACTATAGGCTGCACCATTTGATTTACAATATTAAGGACACCTCACATGCGCAGAACTATTGAGTTGCGTATCTTCTGCCGACGAGATGGAGATGCTGGGGCGAAAAATCTTTGGATGATTTTAGATACTGATGTCTGATAACAGACTCTTCCATTAAATAGGTGTGTTGGGTTTTTAATAGTAACTAATAGTATTGTCATCTCGACTAATTTGTTGGTTAAAAATTAGGCTTAGACGTATGGTAGGACCAGGGTTGGGGTTAGGGAAAGGGTTAGCAATTGACATTAGCCAGTCAGCCATGTGTGTATTTAGTTAACTGCCAATAACCTAACACCCTTTTTTAAAAAGAAGATTCCATTAAAATTCCATAAAAATTCCCCCAAATCTTTTTCCGAGCAGTCACTTCTTCAAAACTTTAACTTAGCTATAAGCTAGTTAGTAGCTAGACTGCTAGATCTAGAATCTTCTAAACTTAACAATTATACTGTAAGCTAGCTAACTTTCAATTCTAGAAAATAGGGCCTGGTAAAAGTCCATTTTAGCGTATTTTATTTGCCACTTCACGTTCACCTCCGGTTGAGCGTATTTTATTATAAACACAACCGAAACACACAAAGTGACAAAAACGGTAGGAAAACACTAGGATTAGAGCTAGTCTAGAGCTAGATATATTTTTTTTAATATGAATGTGACATTTAATTAATTAGAAAAGGTAAAAAAAAAACAACATAAAAAAGCACTAGGACAGTTCCAATTAAATAGCGTGTTATCGTCAACGGGAGAAAAATCCTTACACGGTCGATGGCAATAGCTATTTGATGAAATGGTGTTGGCCTCAGTTTTGGGGTCATTGCGAGTTTATAAAAGTTTATTTATAGTTATAGCATTCAATATTCCAAATTTGGATTTTTTTCAAGTTTTGACAAATTATCAAAACTAAATCAAAACTTCATAAAGAAATAAGTCCAATGTAAATGCTTTCCTAACGTTTTTGTGTGTTTCTGTTGTGTTTATAATAAAATACGCTCAACTGGAGGTGAACGTGAAGCGGGGAATAAAATACGCTAAAATGGAGTTTTACCTAGGGCCTCCCTCTAGACTCTAGAGTAGTCTAGAGAGTCTAGACTCTAGATCTAGACTCTATGTCTAGTAAGTTAAAGTTTCTGTTACACTCAGACTCAATCATTCAAAACACTGAGATGAGTGATGAGACTACACTTCACCACACTAACACTTCTCGGTACACGGAACTGAGTAGTACAGGGTAACAGACGGTACAGTTCAGTGTTTTAGTTGACTAAGAAAAATGAGGAGGCTAAAAAAAAGATTAAAGAAGGTACAACACTCTACTTTATTATCGAGAATCTAAATCTAGCCGTGGCGTACTTAATTAAGAAAATACCCTTAAATATTAAATAATTACCACTTCATAACGAACGTTTGATCTAGCCATGGGTACTGTGATGTAGATCTATTTTTGATGTTTACACTCTAGATTTATGCTGGCCAATATATCTGTCAAATCAAAGATGGCTACTATTTTATCATTTGCTTGTTACGGTATTTCCCATTGGCTTTCCTCTATTTCTATTTTGTCCCTATTAAATTATTAACTGGACTGGATTAAATATCTTCCAATTAGTTTGTAAAATAATTACAAATTATATAACACAGAAATTTTTATGTGAAGATCTCCATAAAATTAAACAGGGCTGGTAATGTGTATATGTGTGTGGGGGGGGGGGGGGGGAGGGAGTGAAAATTACCTGGAAATGTGCACTAGACTAAACAAATGAAGCCTAAAATCAAAGATTGTCAACATCAATACAAATTTTTGTCGCATCCTTATTCTTCACGACGTAAGGCAGACACAATATGACGCACCATTCATGTTTATGCCTCCCATTGTAGAAGTCAAGTGCCATTCTTATCCGCTTTTTAAGCAATTCCTCGATCCTTATCTTTACAAGCATTTCTCCTGCGCCCCCCCCCCCCCCCCCCCCCCCCCGAGAAAAGTGAAAGAAACCTTGACCTCGATAGTAAAAAGCCATACTCCTCCTCATCAAGACAACATTAAGAGATCACCCCCCCCCTTTATAAATTACCATGCTTCTTTTGCCTGTTACCTGCTATTAGCCTCCATACACAGTTTACATCTAGATCTATACCAATATCACTTTTTTAGTCGCATTATTTACCTTCCAATATGTCAGCCGTGTGCTTATAATCACGGATAAGTAAAAACAAAAATAGAAGAAAAAAAGGACAAACGTTTTACCAGTTTATCGAACAAAATATAGATATGGTCTAGCTCTATATAGTTCTGTTTAATTTAGAGTAGGCTACAACGACTCATTTGTTGTTTTATAATTGACCTGCAAATTGCCGGAGTAGATTTCTTATTATTTTATTGAGAATGTCTAGTGCGCTTTTATTTTTATTTGTTTACATTAACATTGGAGGCAGAGATTTGTTTGTAAAAAAGCTAGCGATTGGACAAAAAAGTAAAGCTAAATGGCACGTGCCCTCAGCGTGAACCTAACCCTGACCTCAGAAAGTGGGTTAAATTTAGAATTTAGATGGTTTCCCCGAGTTTGCTGAGGTACATCATCCAAATGCATTTCATTTAGATCTAGATTATTTGCATTGCCACATTCACTGGAAAGGTTTGATTTTTAAAGTTATTTATTCGTTATTTTCACAATTGTGACCGTTATGCTATGACATTATTGTTTGAACAATCAGACCAAAATTAGTATGAGACCTTGAGCTTCGTAACAGTCTACGTACTGCTGCTGCTAGCATGCTCTTGACAGCTGATTCGTGATTGCCGAAAGAGTGAAAGAAAATATTTTTGGTAGAGTCTAGATCTAGATCTATAGGCTAGGCTATATCGTCTGAATTTCTAGAATCTAGATGTAGATTTCTGGAGTCTAGATCTAGATCTTGTAAGCTTTAGATCTTTAGGGACTAGATCTAAATCTATGTAACCACATGCAATGTGCAACAAATTTAGTTAATTAAACACATTTAGGCCTCTAGCCTAATTAATTAATAATTTAATAATATAATTATTAAGGCCAATTCCAATTTAGCCAATTAAAGTTTAAAGTTAAATATTTTAAAGGCAAGGCTTTTAAATATTTTAATATTTTTAATATAGGCCCTATTATTTAAGAATTTAAGACTTTTAATGACTAGGTCTAGATTCTAGCTACTACTACTACTAGCTAGATTACTGATTTGTATTAGAATCGTCTAGATCTAGATCTATGTTTGATATGATACAAATTGGATACTGTAATTCTCTGACTGTGATCAGTTAAAGTTAAAACAATATCAAATTAATTTTGACAGGTAGGCTAAAACCAAATCAAGGTTTGGTTATTAATATGCTAATCATAAATCATCACATCTAACTACTTTTAAATGTTTGCTTAAATTAAATAAAATGTATAAGTATGGCAATTACCTGTAGCCTACTAACTAATTAAATTTAAAGAAAAAAAACCATTTAGCAAAATTTAAATCTTCAAGTAAAACTAGATCTTTACTGAATAAAGCGGGGGTGATCTCCCCTAATCTTTCTTGAATATATACTTATACTAGTGTGCTTGTCCCAGCTGGGGGGGCTAGAAGAAAGGTCAAGGATAGACCGGGGCAAATTGTACCCTGCCAGAGGGTGGACGTGCCTGATTCAATTTAGTGAACGACCATAATACTACTTCTTTAAAACAAACTTATGCGCCATAGTGCTCAAGGGATAACCCTTATTCAGTTTAGTGAGCGACTGGCTCGGTTTAACCAAGCAGCCTTTTCAGCATTGTAGGGTGCTCGCTAAAACTAACGTAGGCGCCATAGTGCTCACAGGGGACCTTGGGGTGATTCTGGTCACGCAATAGTAGTGGCGCTGGCGGCTGCGCCTGTTGAAGTTTTAATGCTTAATATAGCAGTACCCCTAACTCGCTATGCAAGATGCCCGATTAACAGATACAAAGTGCTAAGATAGCGGCTCTGGAATTCTGGGCGCTAATTTTTTAGCATGATTACAATACTTCCTCTATACTTTGTATACAAGAAAGTAAAAATGGGAAGATAAATATTAATTTAAAAAAACAACAAAAACTTTAGAGAGTTATTAAAATATTACACAAGCTATCAGAATGCTGTTACTGTTATTGTATCAGTACTAAAGCCGTTAAATTTGGCGCCTCCCCCCCAATATATATATGTGTTTGTGTTATATATATATATATATATGTGTGTGTGTGGCAAGCTAATTCTTTAGAAAACCTTACCTATTTGTGTACCTCACAGAAAAACATAGGCCATATGAAGTAGAGTTCCTCTGTTACTGTAACTTCTGCCTATGAAGGGATAGTGTGGCCTGCAGGAAGTCCAGCCTTCTTTACTTTCTCTATTGTGACTCAGCTACCCATCAGAACTGAATGGATTCATTGGATGTCCTACAGACTCAGACTTGACACTTCTGGATTAGGACCTTGTTATGAATGCACAACTCTGTTATCTCCTATATATTCAATATTCTGTTGACCTTTTTGTTGAACTCTGAAACTCAGAGACAAGAAAAAAAAAACTAGTTAAAATTAAAACCATTTATTCTGACATCAGTACATCATGCACTAGACCCAGTCCACATTATCGTTCACTTTCAACATGGGGTAAATTCAGCTCAAATTTTTAGTAGAACTAAAATACATCTATCCTATCTTTAAAATTATTTGTAGTACTTAAACTTTTTATTTTTTATTTCTGACAGATGCAAGGCAGGCTCTTTCCAACCACTAATTAGCTTGTAGTCTAATAATGGCTACAGTTGATGCACACAATTTAAATGAACATCTTGGAGCTTTATACATGGAGGATATTAGTCTGGATTTTATTCTGAAAGGCACACTAGGGTTGAGTACTTCAGACAACTCTAAAATGTCTAAGCTCAGTTCAGCTTGTTTTGATTGTAACATAAAGCTTGTTAAAACCTTACTTGAACAAGGAGCTGATGTGAATCTTCCAGGAGATGATGGTATGACACCTCTGCATGTTTTATGTAACAGCATGAAGACATCCCACAATCGTCTGCAGATAGCAGAATTGCTTTTGAAGAAAGGCGTAGACGTCAATTTAAGGGATGCCACTGGTAGTACGCCTTTACTTCTAGCATGCAAAAATAATCAAATCGGCCTGGTTGATTTGCTAATCCAGGCTGGTTGCAATGTGAACATTCCAGATGAAAATTTCGATACACCCTTTATGGTTGCCTGTAGGATGGCATCCGAAGGCTGGTATTTTTGGAACACTGACTTCTTAAATGATGATAGTGATACTGAAGATTCTTATCATGATGATAAATTTCCACCAGTATTTATTTGCAAGTCTTTGTTGCGGGCGGGGGCCGATCCTAAGCAGGCAACGCTTCTCCCAACTGCTGTGCTGTATAGCACTCTGGAAACTGTGAAGGAGTTTATAGATCTGGGGATGGATGTAAACATGAAGGATGAAAATAGGCGCTCACCTTTAGGTTGTGCTTGTTCGACGTCCTGTTCAATCAGTATGGTCAAGCTCCTGCTCGAGAAAGGCGCGGATGTTAATGGTGATGGCAGAAAAAACAAGCCCATTATTTCAGCCTACGTGTACAACTCTGTTGACAAAATACGCCTCCTACTTTCTTACGGTGCTTCGGTAAGCTGTGAGGAACTGTCTGAACTATTTTCCATCAGCCTTACTAAATGGGTCCTTGAAAACCCAGATATCATTAGTGAAGATAGCAAAGAGCTCCTGTCGTGGAAGCTGCTAATGAAAGCTGGATTCAGGCCCACATTTTCACTTATTGCTCCAAAGCTCAAACACGTTTCCCTTTGCAGCTCCTACACCAAAGTTAGCCCATGGATTAATAATTTGCTGTCCCCTATGTCATCGCTAGCCGATTCTTGTCGAGTCACCATTCGTGCCCAGCTGAAGCCATCAGTAGATGAAAAGATTGACCACCTGCCTTTGCCCAATAGTATAAAAGGGTTCCTTAGATTCAGTGAATTTTCAAATACAGTATTTAGGAGAAGTAGTATGAGAACCGAGGAGAAATTTAGTGTATAGATTATTTCATGTATTTTGATTACATGGTCTTTCACTAAGCTTCACTTAAAATGTTATTGTTTTGTAATTGGATGTTTTTCTCAATTTAAACAATATCAACCTTTAAATATTTAATGAAGTAATTGAACAAATAAGGTGTTACTGTTTGCTAGCAATTGGAAGAAACAGCTGATTAACCAGCATATGCTGTAAAGTCAAATTTGTCAAAATGTACTTTTTAAACCTGTCTAGTTGTATGTATTTCTTTAGCACAATCAAGTTTTATTCATGACAGAAGTTTTTTTTATCAAGCAGATTTCTTTTCAATTGAGGTTATTTGTCAATAGGTTAAAGCAAGAAAAAAAAACTAAGTTTATAGCATGACACTTTAAAAAAAAGTAGTGTTATCAGCCTGGTTTCTTAAAAATTTCAACCCCTATACTGAATGGGCATTGCATTGCTTTGCATGCATAATATTTTATTTTGCTTTATGTAATTATGCACCCTGATTCCTAAAGGAAGCCAAGTGTTTCTAGCCTATCCCTGACTGAGAACCACTGACTTTTGTGATTGTTAAATGGATTGAAGATGTTTTGCATTATCAAATCATAAAATGGCATTTTTAATTATTTTTTTTTGCATTATTCTTTATGGCTGACATAACTTTTTTTTTTTTTTTAAATCTTGATACCCACAGGTCTTAAATATTTTGTTATAATTCATTGAGTGATAATGGGAGTCATAAATAATCAGTTTTAAGAACTGAAAATACTGTACATTTGAGATCTTTATTAAGATTTTTATAAAAGGTCTTCCAATATTACTTAAACTAGACCTAGATTATAACATTTTGATCAACATTCATATTGCTAGATGAATGAATTCTCTAAGGAGAAAGTAAGCTTTACCCACTTGCTTTTGAACTAATAGTTATTGGAAGAACTGGTGCTTTGTTTTTAGAAAATTTATTATATTCTGCTGTGTAGATTAATAAAATCTAACTTGACAGAATGTAGGTAGGCTTATGTATCTGCACCCTACTGTGAAGCCACTGACTGTAAGATATTTGCAATTGGAGTGTTTTTTTTTTTTGTATATTTAAAAAATAGGATACCACTGGATACAATAATATAATAATAATTCAGTATTTGTAGCAATACTTTAAAAGAATTGTAGTATTTTAGTATTAGCTTAGCTTTATAATTTACCACCTTTTTAATAAAAGTCGACCCAGCAGGTAAATGGTAATCTTACAAGCTTATATGGACAGTATTAATTTTTGTCTTTGTTTATATTTTCAGTTGAATGATGAGAATTGAGACTAGTTATTTTCTTTATAATGACTTTTAGACAAGCTTGCATGTTTTTTTAAATTTTAGATTATTTATATAGTGTGCATGTTTTTAGTTCCATAAATCTTTAGCAGATGAAATAAAACTGATTTTTCTCTTTCAAAAGTAATTGTTACTTTTAAAAAGTCAAATATTACAAGATTTTACAGTGTAATATGTATATGTGTTAAGCTGGAAGTGTGTAAGATTTAAAGTGTAAAACTGCTGCATTTGCACAATTAGTGACCACAAATTAAAATTAAATAATACAACATTTAAGTTGTAGTAAATAAATTTAATATTTTAAAAATATGTTTGTGATATATTTCTTATTGTTAATGTCTTCAAAATAACAGTTTTGTACTTACATGCATTTAATTTTGTGGAGCTTTTTACCATTAAAAAAATAGCAAATAGCTATTAAAAAATATTTTTGATTTTTTAAAAATCAATATTGTTTTCAATGAAAATAAATTTCACAAAAAAAAATAAATAACAAAACTATGTTAATCATTTAATAAAAAAGGAGTGGTATTCATGTTTAGTGCCATTTAGGCATAAGCAGCCATTTTTTAATCAAGTGTTTTTGGCTTAATTCTTCAAAAAAATTAGTCATAACCATTTTAAATTTCTCTAAATTCTCTTATTTACTTCATTTGTAATTTAATTTTTTTTCCTCTGTTACAAAAGTAATATGCAAGAATTCAATGTACGCATGATTCTAGGTTGTGTTTATATTTACATGTATAAATAAATATATATAGGCTTATATACTTGTACTTTTATCTTCTACATGAAGCAATGTATTTTAAAATATTTTAATTACTCAATTATATATATATGGACTGATTAATTACCAATCCTAAATTTGTTTGAATTGTACAAGCTTTAATTGTCTTTGTCATTTAATCAAGTTATATCACAACATAGGTATGTCATGTTTTAAGGACACTATACGGAATGTTTTAACTTGCTAGTCACATGTATAAATGTGATACCCCGGTGAAAATAGATTTTAAAAAATCTTTGCAAATTGATAAACTTTTTAGGCAGATTTCTTTTTTTAAAGAAAATATATGCTTTATAGTTAAAATAACTGTATTATCCCCTATATGTCAAGCCAGTATCTATTATTACTATTAAATATTGATATATATATATAAATATGACATACTGTATTTTAAAACACATTGTGATTTATAACTTAAAAGGAAAACTGGTCAACTTTTCTATTGCCATACATAAATAGTTTTTTTAGTCGGGGGTTATCCTTTTATGAAGGCCATATAAACAGTTGAAACTTATAGACTTGTTTCCCTGTGGCCGTGTGCCCACTACGATTTAATTTACAGTTATACATTTTATATGCAGATACTTTATGGTGTAACTTACAAATGATAGCACAACAATTTGAATTCAGATTTTTGTTTGTCTGACATTTTTCTACAGACAATTAGTCTGTCATGATATTTGGTCTACTAAAGCATTAGGATTTGGATTAGGGAATTGAACATTGTAAACCTCTTCAAATCTGCTAAGACATGGTGGAATTTTGGCAGTAATAAATGTAATAAAACCAACATAATCTGACTTGGGTTGACCAAATGTGGAAGTTCAAATATCATGATTGATCTAATGTCTAGATGAACCTTGTTGACAAAAAGTGAAGGCCATTGTTGCAGAACCTAGAAAAGTATATTGATGATAAATTCAACATGTTGATGTGCACTCAATTCTCCCCCCCCCCCCCCCAGTCCTCTCTGTGGACATCATAAATGGATCACCCCCTCCCCCTTGCAAAGAAAAGAAAAATGGCGCTAGTTTTACAATACTTAGCGATGACAATAGTTTTCAAATTCATAACTAAATAAATATGTTTGACTGATGATGCTTCTTTGTCCTGTATAGCTTTTAACATGTGTGCTTGCAAAAAGATATTGACATTAAACAGTTTTTGTTGTATTCGGAAGATTAACCCACAATTTTTAAAGTTTATCTGGTGTTGGTACAATATTAACAAGCTTTTGTTGGCTAATCAACTAGAAAATAATCTATTTATATAATACATCATAGAAACACTGCCTTGAGTGTGCGCAACGTAAGGTATTAAAGCAGTCTGCATTTCATAGTGACAATCTACTTTTTAACTTCTTGACTATTGAAAAAAAGTGCCTGTATTATTTTTTTTTACAAAAATCATTCTTGTACATCATGAGATGAGCTTTTATCATTCTAAAGATGTTTTTAAAAAAAATTTAATGCTGATATGTTTTATTTGTAATTCAATAATTAAAAAAGCATTATGTTTTAGCATTGCATCTACAGCAAAGTGTATTATCGGGTAATAAATTGGCCCCCCTTCCCCCACCATTGTTAGGGATCATGCATATATTAGATTTACAAATTCAAGAATTCATACTATATTCTTATTTCTACAATTCTTTTTGCAATTTTTTAAGTGAATAGGTTGACACAACTAGTTAACGTATTTAACACAAAATTCAGTGTTTGAACTTCTTAAAATAAAAATATGTTTTTCAAAAAAAAATGTGATTTCTATTTTACGAATAAAACCAGTAATTTAGTAAAGCATAAAAGACACACAAACCCAGACATACTTTCAGTTTTATACATATAGATATATTCTTTATCTATATAATTGGTTTCTCTGTGTGAGATAACACAGTTAAGTTGCCATTAAAAACATTGCTGTATAACTCATGAACATTTTTGTTAAAATTTGGTTTCCAGTATTAAGAATTTTAAATTTGTCACTGGTTTGGATTTGTGTGATTTTTATAATATTCAATGTATTCAAAAAATATAGGCCTATTCTGAGAAGTGGTGAATTTTTTTTTCATTAAGAGTTATTGATAGGATTTTTTATCATTGTCAATTCAATAGGGCAGATTTTATATATTTAATTAATTGAAAGATCTTTTTTTAATGTTGAAACAATAGACATATTGTTTAGATGGTCAAAATACATGACACATCTATAAAAACTTGATAACAAACACAAACATCTGATTGTTTGGGCTTAATTCATCATACTCAAAATAAACTTCAGCATATTATTGCATCAGTGCCTAATCATTAGTATGCATTGGTTAATGGATTAAGAATAGATATTTATGTTCTACAGATTTTATTTAAACTTTTTTTGCTTCCTATAACACAGGGGTCTCTAAACTACGGCCCGCGGGCCGGATGCGGCCCGCGCGGTCATTTCATCCGGCCCGCGACGATCTTTTTATCCACTGAATAAATGTGTGTTATAGCTGACTGAGGAACTTAGCACAGAAAATTCAAAACAATTTGAAAATGTAGCTTTGGGTGCAAATACGATTGCCCGCCGTGTTGCAGACATTGGTGAAAACATCTTGACTCAAATAGCGAAAAATGCAAGCAAGCTTCGCCATTTTTCAATTGCAATGGATGAGTCGCTGGACAGTTGTTCCACCTCTACTTCTTGTGTTCATTAGAGTGGGTATAGAAATTGGATTCTGTTGCAGAATTAACCAGTCATTTAAATTTTCTGAACCTAAAACGGCAATAGAATGAAATCTAGTTTCTTATCTATACACCCACCTAAAGACCTTCAGATTCAAACGTGTCATGTATTTGGAACAAGTACAGGCCAACAACCTGACGCACTTTCAGCAGTGCACGTTCTTTACGGCTGAAGCAACCAATGAATTTCCCACGTCATTTAAATATGATCATCAAAGACTTCCAGCTGCAGTTTTAGTAGGATTCAAAGGCAGAAGAAGTGAGACTGAAGCAAATGTGGCCAGTTGCAAAGATGAACTGCAGCTGGAGGTCATTGAATTGCAAGAAAATGACTTCCTTAGAGACACTTTCAAAGAAGGGCAGATTGATTTTCATAAGTTTTTGCACAAGGAAGACCGTCCTAATATTAAAAGTTCTGTATCATAGTACCTATCGAATTTTGAAACAATATACCTTGTGGACACTTGAAATTTGTAAATATTTCTATATAAATTATATTTCGTGGGGGGGGGGGGGTGCGGTAGACGTTCTTCTGGAGAGGGGTTCGCCCCCTCCCCAAAGAGATGCCTTAAAGAAACTCTGGCCCCCGAACTGATATTTCAAGTTAATGTGGCCCTCGGACTGAAAAGTTTGGAGACCCCTGCTATAACACATAGACATAGTCCAGCCTATACAACTTGTTGATTAAAATAAATATAAGAAGCTTTAGTAAATTAAATAATTTGATTTGGACTGTAACAAAACAATTGTAAAATTGTGATAACTTGTTAAGAATCAACTGAAATTAATCTGTCTGTAATGTTAGTGTTTGTTTTTTGTTGCCTGTACTGTGAAGATTTTTTTCAATGCTTATAACAACTCGAACTGGAGAGAGTAACCAACAATAAATATATTTGAATAAAAATTACTTTTTGCTTTTGATCCTTTGTAAGGGATATATGGTCAGTAGTGAGGCATACAGAAGTGAATGTGTGACTGTGAGTCCATTTAAACTGAGCTAACTATACAACACGTAGGATGGCATGTACAGCATAAGACCTAGAAGTCTCTAGTTTGAATCCAGGTTAAGTCCATAGAATGTGGCTTAGTCTGATCAGTACCTGACTCACATTAGGGAAAGTAAAGAAACAGGTGAGCACCACTTCACTTGTCCCATGGACCATTAGGATAAAACAATGCAGTACATGTGTGGTTATGTGATCACATTTCTAGGAGATGAAATAACTGAGTTACTTTATTGTGTTTTGGAAGCTGTTAGGTGTATCAAACTATGACATGATTCATGAAATAAGGGCAAACTCAAAGCAGTAGCTAAGATATATGTTTATTTCATTAAAACAAAGTATGAAATGCATTATACATATAAAAAAGATTGACACAAATTTAAGTAATAATCATAGTACATGATGCGCAATTTTCTTTTTTTCTAAAATAACTAAGCACCTTATTTTAAATATATTATGAGTGATACAGAAAACTTATGAATAATTAGGAACCAGAAAAAGTCATAACTGGTAGGGTTTTTAAAAGGGATGCCAGAAATAAATAACTAACATATACAATTTTATTTAGTATAAAATAAGAGAATTCTTATTTTAAACAAATTTTACAAATCATCAATTATGTAAGATAATAGATGAATATTTAACTGTACAAGAACAAATGATAGGAATACAAAGAGAATTAAACATGAGTATAGCAGTTATCTTTAATGAGTTATGTACACTTGGGTTAGTAAAAAAAGCAACATGAGCTATGTTTTGACTGGGACATTTAGATTGAATAAAATAGATTTCAAGTTGAGGTTTAAAAATGCATTGTCATTGCCTCCATTTACTAATATCTCTTGAATTATAGCAACAATTGTGTATGTTTCAAAGAAGCGCTTGTTGGATCTAGGAAGAAAGAAAAAATATTTTTAAAAGATGGTAAAACAATTGCTTAGAAAAAATAAATAATTAGGATCTATTTTAACTTTTAAGTCTTTTTGCATATTAAATGTAGATTTGAACCTACTTTAAATTAGCGTTGAAAGTTTTTACTATCATAAATATGGAACTCAATTAATTACAATTTTTTAATTTGAAGTTTTTTTCATTATAAATAAAAATCAGATCCTTCTTTAACTTTAAAAGTTTTGTTATTATTATTGTAAATTGGGACATACTTTAAAATGTAAATCTCAATCATAAATGTAAATCAGAACCAAAATTAACTTTGAACAGTTTTATCTTTAAAAATCTAAATCAGAACCTACTTTTACAGTTTATGCCAATATAAATGTAAATCAGGAGCGTTTGTCATTAAAAATGTAAACCAGGACCTACTTTAGCAGTTTGTCATTATAAATGTGAATCAGAACCTACTTTAACTTTGAAAGTTTTTGCAGGATGATGCTCAGTCTCTCCATAACTCTGATGTCTGGCAGAGGTGTTCGTAAGAGCAGGGCAGCAGAGCGGAAAAAGTGTTCATTGCTGCAACTTTCCAGAAATGTTTGTTGAAAAGGGGACTCGGCAGACAATTGAAGCAGAATATCAACAGCCACATTAATAAACGTCTGAGTTTTAGAAAATATATAACATTATGGGCTGTGTGTAGTTAAACAATATACAAATGATTTAATTTACCATTTTTTTAAGAATGAGATAAAGAAAAAAGGTGTTGCTTATCATTAATAAGCTAAATGGTGTTTTAGAACAATATAACAATCATCTATTTTAATAAAAATATAACACGGAAGAGTAATCAACTAATATTTATATGATAAATAATAAAAATATCAAACTTGTAAAAAAGCTTTTGTTTTCAAATGACATTTTGTAAGGCCACTTAATGTCTTTTGTAAGGTCACAAAATTACTGCCCTTTGCTCCTCAGGGTCCTTACAGGAATATGTCAATGAAGTCAAAGTAGCAAGATAAAATTACTAAGGTCAATAAAATAAATGTAAGGTGATGAAATTGTCAATCTTAAATTAAAAAGCACTAACAAATATATAATGTGTCATCATGTCTGCTATGAAATCTGGACAAAATATAAAACTGACCTTATTGACAGGTTTCATAAAGAAAATGATGACACCAGTAGCTTGATAATACAAAAATAACTCCTTAGACTGATCATTCTTGAGCTCTGTCTTCAACAAATCAAACGCCTGGGCTAAAACATCAGCTGACAAATAATATAGAGTTAATTATCGTTTAAGTAACCTTTTCTAACAACTTTCTACACCTCAAATTTTACTCCATACCATTTTATTACTGTGTTGATTTGCAACATTTTCTTAAAACTTAAAAGTTTTGATTCATCAAAACAGTAATAGTTTTTTAACAACTATGAGAAATGTTCTGAACAACTGTAATATTTAAAGTACAGAAGAGACATTAAATGTAAACAACAGTTCAAAAAGGAAACTTAATATGGTAATTAATTCCGCACAAATTTTCCTGAAGTATGAAATATTTGGGGGAAAATTTATTATAAATTATTTTACATAGTATATACTAAAAAATATATTAATAAAACAATACTGATGTGGCGACTGAATTTTTTTCTCTATCAAAACTTTTAAATAATAATATATATAAAACATTTAATGAAGTACCTCTTGATAAAGTTTTCAAAACTATTAAAGCAGAGAGCAATCTGATGTGGTTGTTTGTGCTCCTCATAAACAAAGGCTCCTTTAACTTTTCATTCAGTGTGGCCGTCGTGGCAATTATTTTCTCTACCTCAGTAACTTTGGAAGACTTTGGATAGTAAACCTCTTCTCCAATTCTTCTCATTGTAGTGGACATATTTACATTCTGTTAAAATTAGTTGTTAAAAAAATAGCTGTTTTAAAATATATATATAAATATAAATATATATATTGAAAAATAAAATAATATAAAATGGTAATTAAACTAAGCATTCAAAGCGAAGGCTAATATTTAACTTAAATCTGTAAAATGGTTGTATCAAAGACACAGAATTAAGTGTAGTTCTGTTTTTAAATCAGCTCAAGTTAAACAAAAAACTCTCTAATAAATTAACACTATAGCATGATGAAATACAATTCTGTTTGAAAATTAATTCTTACATTATCTTAGTTGTGTAGGTCTACCTAATGATTTTACCTGGAGAGTTTGTATCTGGTCTGTGTGTAAAAGGTCTACCTAATGATTTTACCTGGAGAGTTTGTATCTGGTCTGTGTGTAAAAGGTCTACCTAATGATTTTACCTGGAGAGTTTGTATCTGGTCTATGTGTAAAAGTGACCAATAAATAAACTGTAAGCAAGGGAGACAACAGCGGACATTGGCAGCATTTTCCCGTAGAATTTCTACAAGGTTAGGTAAAACCTGAAACCAAACATTTGTTCAATTTCATCAAAAATAAATATCAATTTTACTCATGAACTTTTTACTTGAAAAATGAGTACTCAGTAATGCAACAGGAAGACATTCTGGGTCTAATATTTTAATCCTTGGAATAGCATGACTGCTAAAAGTCTCAAGTTCAGATCTCTAGCTTGAATTTGAAGGATGTTCCTGAGTCCTCTCAACTTTGATGGGTACCTGACTCATGTTAGGGAAAATAAAGGTGGATGAGCATAGTGCTGACCACACCATCCATTGATATGCTGAGGTCAAGAAACATAAGAACTCTACTTCATCTTCATCTGCCCTATGGAGAGTTAGGTCTGAAAGAGGAACCCTACTTTTTTTAAACCTAACCCTGACCCTAATCCTAGCCATGAACCTAGTACTGATTTAGAAAGAAGAAAAATAGTATTGCATTATCCTGATAGGGTTTTTTAAAGAACCAAAAAGTCTAAGTAAAACAATAGAAAACTAACATTTAGCTTATTAAATAAAAAAGTTCAAGAAAATTCACAAGCATTAAATAAAAATGTCAAAATCACATACTTTTAAAACCCTTTCTTGAATGAATGATGGAGCGCAGTAGGACTCTGATGGTTTGGTTGGTAGATCAGTCAGGGCCTGCCTGAGGTGAGCTTCACACACCCAGTCCAACAGGGTGGACAGAGCTGATGAGTACACCTGAATTGTGTTCTGACAAAGGGAAAACAGTACAGCGTTTTAGAAACAGAAACATCTGAATAGGAGAACCTTTCTGAATACATGGTGAAAACTATATTTTCTATAGTAAGAAAGGGCAATTTATGTATTAATGGTTTGGCGTGGTTGATTATAGAGCATATGGCTGCTAACCTAAAAGTCTTGAGTTCAAACCTGGGTTCAAGTCTGCGGACTGTCCCTATATACACTTAGCTATAATGGGTACCTGACTTACGGGAAGGTGAAGGCGACTGGGCATAGTGCTGACCACACTATCCCTTCATATACAGAGGTCACAAAAACAGGTGAACTCTACTTCACTTATGCCATGGACTGTGAGGTTTTTCATATCTTAATGAATGACTTAATTCTCTTTGATTATCCAGAATAGTATCATATACAAGCAGTTGATCTATAAAACAGGGCAACAGATGTCTTAGTGACCATTGTGTATTATTGGGTATAAATGTCATATAAAAAAACAATCTGCCAATTCTCAAGGATAACAGTAGCTAGATAGGCGATATCTTACAAACTAGGATTTTTTCAGAAATATGGTTGGCTGAATACACCCAGCTCTGATGAATAGCTGGATCAACACAGGGAGATTAAGGAACTGACCAAAAAAAATCCCTTTAGCAGCTACAAAAAACCAAACCAAACAAATAAACTCTTCCACCCTCTAAACTTCCAGGTACCATTACAGTATTTTACTTGTATAAGCATTTGAATGTTGTAACTGCCCAAAGTGGCATAAAAACACCTTTTCTGTGCTGAAATCTCACTGAATGTAAGAACACAATGATAATATAAACACATACCTTGCTCTGCTTGGGAGTTTTTGGCTTTTCTTCTGGTTTATCACCTGGCTTTACCGAAGTTGGTTCTTTTTGTTCTGAGTAGGCCTCACTTGCCAGTTTGATCACCTCTGTGTCCTTCAGCTTTAATTCATACTCCTGCTTTCTCTGTGAACATCAATAAATCAATAACATCAACAAGCAAAATATATTTTTGGGTAACAGCAATAGTTTGTCTACACACTAAATGAATGGAAGAAAAAAATTCTTTAAAAAAGTAAAAAAAAAAGAGTTTAAAAAATACTTTTATTGTAAAAAGCTCCATATTTTCATACAATAGAGAAAAAAATGGGTCATAAAACCATTGTGCAGTATATCTGAGCAATCTTTTTACATACTATAAGTTACTTATTATAAATAACACAGATTACTATTATTTTTTAACACAAACTTTTAATAAAATTATCAATACTAACATTTTCATACAAAAATATTTTACTTGTTTATGAATATTTAACAACAGATTTCTATATTTTGAACATGGACTTACTTGTAAATTAGCTAATCTAGCTTGTAAACTTGTCAATGATTTTGTAAGCTTTGCATTCTGGGTAGTCACTGCCTCAAGCTAAAAGCAGAACAAATTCAATTATTTTTTAATGAGCATAAGATCGTTTAAGCAAGCATGCACTTAAACCCTGATGGAAATTATATGTTGGATATGGGTTACTAAAGGTCCAATCATCAATGATTGGTTATAAATATGCTACAATCTGTGTACTTTTCAATCATGTTTTATTAATGCCATTAGCCCTGTCATATTTATTTGATTTATCATTTTCTTTTAAAATTTGTCCACATTTGACTTATGAAAAGAGTCTTACTAAACAGTCAACCATTTTGCAGTTTCTCTATTGTAATAGATGTGTTCTGACAAAGACCTTGGGTTGAAACATTCATTGTACACCATATCCAACCAAACTTTGAAAAACATATTTATTTTAACACGTTTACATTTATTGAAACTAGTGAAAAACATACTTCTTTTTTCATCACATCATTTGCTTGTTTGAGAGTTTCAAAGTTTTCTTTCAACCTTTTATTTTCTTTTGTCTTTTCTTTTAGTGCATGGTCTAGTTGCTTTAGCTCTGCTGTATATCTCTGCAAAAAATACAAGGTTTGTGTCTGAATGATGTGGTGTTTCTATACAGAGAAAATATATTTTAATGCTTTGACATATCTATAAATGGTAGTGTAATGTTTTCATTCTATGACATATGTCACCAGATCAAGTCTTAATAAAGTGGCATTTCCCTGGAGGTCAACAAAAGCTAAATACATTTCTATAATATATCACTACAGACAGAATATAAGACTTTGATTTAGCATTTTTATATAGACTGAAAAAATATTTTTCTTTTCTAGTATTGCCAAAGGCATTTGTAAGCTTTTATAGGATTAACTTTTTACTGGCTTTTTTCATAAGCTTAGCAGCAAAGACAGGTTGAACTCTACAAAGAGGTCTTAGAAAAAAAAATGATCAAGGAATTTGGTTAGTAATACCTCCTCAATGGACATAACCTTAACTTTAACTTGGTGGTCTGTGACTGTCTGCAAACTCTCCTGTGATATAACCAGCATTCTCTCCCTTTCTTTAAGCTTAGCTTCACGCTCATGGAGGATACGATTTTCTTCCTGGAAAAGAGTGTATAAAATTAGCATAAGGGTTATATTCTAGGGGAGAGGAGGGTGGTGGAAAGAAATGGAGAAGAGCAGAAAAGAAGGATGACTTAGTAATTGAAATATAAACTTAACACAATCATCTAAGTTATGATGAAAGTGCATACATTGTGAACCAATAAGAAAAGAGTTGAGTAATGTCTGTTTTTAGAAGATTGAAAACTTTTTGATTGATTTAAGATTAAAAAAAAAAACTTACAAGAAAAAAAAAACTCTACAAGAAAAAATTTAATTGCATTTATCACAACTGAGAGCTATATTAAAATTTAATAAGGTTGACTATAAATTGTTCATATATTCTATCACAAGAAGCAGTGGCCAGAAGCATGATGGCTAACAGATCTGGATCATGGGCTCGAGTCCATTGTTCCAGAGTGCACAATTCTCTGATGGGTATCTGACTCATGTAAGGGAAAGTAAAGGTAGTTGGGCACAAAATTGATCATATTATTCATATGTTCATTTCATATGCCAGGGCCACAGAAAGAGGCGAACTCTACTTCACCTTCCATATTGACCATCAGGTTTAATTGGGGAATTTTTACATAATAAGGCTAATTAATCAAATCAGATCTATCATTCTTGAGCATACAAAATGTTTAACTCACCCTTAACTTATCACTAATTGCCTGTAACTCTTTGTAAATCTCTTTAATATCTTCTTTAGTTAGCTCCCCTTCATCTGAAACTAATTTTAAAAATCAACAAGAATTAGGATCTCATAGTGATAAATGAGATTTTAAAATTACATTTCTAATATTATTTGATGGCTTATATTATTAAAAATTAAAATCATGATCAAAATAAATTCATTTTCTAAACAAGAAAAAAGTATGTTTAAACTGCCTGCAATAGGAAATCTGAAAAATATAAATATTTTAAATGCTTTTAAATTGTGATTTAAAAGAAAATAATTCGTAAATGAAGTGAGCCCTTTCAATACAAGATTTTGTAAGTGTAGTATGTTGCTTGCTATAATTATAGGTGCACTGATATCCTTTTATATTATTCTTCAATAGCTTCATTGTTTTACCATTACCAACATTTAAGATAAGAACCAGTGCCTATTTTATTACAGGCATGCATAATTGGAATCGTAACATCTAGTCCAGGCTAAACAGCTGACCTTGAAAAGGTAATTCACCATGTACAAACCAAACAGTGTAATTACATGACAGTTGTAACAACATTGAAATTATACAATTAATTTTTAGCATACCTTCATCGTCTGTGTGAAAGGAAGCCATGCTCTGCAAATTGCTTTTCACTTTGGAAGACAGTGCCCGCATGTGTACATGTTTTGTATCACTCTTAGTTCTATGGTGAGACATTGAACTTGAAGACTTTACTGAGGCATTTTCAGCATAAAATTCTTGAGGTTAATAGCTGGTAAGTGTAATTACTGTACTGACTAGATCGAATTCCAATTATAAATGGAATGACATCATCTGTAATTAAAATATTTTATATTTATAATATTTTCTGAGAAATGAAAATACTATTTAGTATAAGGTTAAAATAATCAGTAGTATTGCAATCTATTAGTAATTTAATCTATTAACAAAATGAAAAAAATAATGCTCATCAAAGTATTGATTTCTAATAACATTTTTCATTGCAACTTAAATGAGTGTGATGTATTAAAACTCTTTAAATTTTACAAACCAAAACATGTAGCCTAGTTAATTAAGTAGTGGACCCATTGTATGAAAATAATGGTGGTCCAATAAAACACACAATCGAGGTTTGTATAATATAATTAATATTGCTATTAAAAGCGAGTTAAGATGTTAGATTCACTGTATTTTAGATAGGGCCTATTCAAGTCTAAATAACAATGTAGCCTCATGTTTAAAAAAACTTTTTTCATTTTTTCAAGTAGGTCACTACTCTGTGTTTGCAAATTTTATTAAATCAAGGCCTATAAAATAAAAAATTTCAACTTCTAACTTTTTTAAAGAGTTAATTTTATTAAAACTTTAATTATTAAAATGAGTAACATGACTCAAAAGGTTAAAAAGGTCAAAAGCACAGAGGAGTAGGGGGGGGGGGGGGAAAGAGGGGGCAGTGCAAATCTCAGAAGCTGAAGGACACCAAAGTCCAAGATAGGCTAGATCTAGAAAGAATTCTAGATGTATCATTTTTGTGGGTCATACTTCACAACTTTACTCATCATTCATAAGCAATCAAAACCACTCATCTTATTAAGATAAATCAAAGTGATAAGTTTACTCACGCTGCAAATAAAGATCGAATAATGGGAAGCCTAAATGATCAGGCTAAGATAATTCAAACACAAGTAATGTACATGGTACAGGGAATGAACGAGAAAACAAGATCCCGACTAGATTTAATTTAGATCTACTCAATTAAATTAGTGACAATTACTACTGAAACCGACAACTACTCCTACTAGATCTAGTATGTTACTACAGATCTAGACTCTAGAGTAGAAGTCTAGATCTACAAATCACAGACTTCAGGTTTCAACAAGTTATTTTGCCGTGAATTTGATCACTTTGTGACCAAAACACGATAACTGGATCTACCTGGATCTATTCGTTAAGTATTTTGAATCTAGACTTAGATCTAGTATATTTGGAATAATTATGAGAAAAGAATCGATTTTCTGAAAATAATTAAAATTTAGAATAAGAGCTACGATTGCTGGTTCAAGACATAAGATGCAAAGTTTTCCCTAGAAACAGCAACGCAGACCATTCCGCATATTTTGCATGCTCCAACTTTTTTACAATACTGAACATGTTTTAAAAAGCAGACACATTGGCCAACTGAGTTGACTATAATTATGAAACAAAGCAATTTAAATTTGAATTAAAGTGTGTAAAGTACTCTACTCAGAAAAATGCAAATGCAGACCGAAGATAAGCTAAACACCTGTACATATTTAATGTATAGAACCGTGTTTTTCAACCAACAATAATCGTGCGCATAATCTAGTCTATAAAGTGTCCCCCCCTCTCACCCCCAGACCTCCAGTCACCCCATATAATCTATAATAATAGTTTCGCTGTCTCTCTATCTATCTATCTATCTATCTATCTATCTATCTGTCTGACAAGAACGCTCTAGAGAAAAGACAAGCAATTTAAAAACATGCATAGTAATTCGAAAAACGAAGTATGACGTCGACACATTTAGCGCACAGAGTAGAAAATAATCTCAAACCCAGAGAGTGCACACAGTTATATGACGTCATTGATTATCGCGTAAACATTGAATACAAAGGAAATTTTGTCTAATCTAAATGGTTTGCGTGAAGAGTTTCTTGCATACAATTCTTCGGGTAGGGGCGAAGCCCCACCCCCCGCGTAAGAACGTCTGAGCCCCCCCCCTCCCCAACTCAAAAGAAATTTCCTCATCGATACTCTATAATAAAATTACCGCCTAATTAATGTGTCTAATCTAAAAAGTGGTTTTCTTGCAATGGGACGGTAGACATGTTTTTTTTTTGGGGGGTGGGGTGTGGAGGGGTGGGGGGGGGGGGGGGGTGTGGGGGGGGTGGTGTGTGGGGGGTGGGTTGGTTTCAGTGTTTCTTTCAGACTTTTTCCTCCCCGGAGAGGGGTGGGGGTACTTGAAATTTTCGGGGGCGGGGGTAGAATTTTCTGGGAGGGGGCGGACACTGGAAAAAGTGTGGAGGGGGTGGTGTGTGGGGGTGAGGGGTGGGGGTGGGGGTGGTGTGTGGTGGGGGGTGGGGGTGGGGGGTGGGGGGGTAGGTGTGTGGGGGGTGGGTTGGTTTCAGTGTTTCTTTCAGACTTTTTCCTCCCCGGAGAGGGGTGGGGGTACTTGAAATTTTCGGGGGCGGGGGTAGAATTTTCTGGGAGGGGGCGGACACTGGAAAAAGTATATAATTATATTTCGTTGAATGGGACGGTAGACATGTTTTTTTTTTGGGGGGGGGGGGTGGGGGGTGGGGGGGGCGGTGTGTGGATGGGGTGGTGTGTGGGGGTGAGGGGTGGGGGTGGTGTGTGGTGGGGGGTGGGGGTGGTGTGTGGGGGGGTGGTGTGTGGGGGGTGGGTTGGTTTCAGTGTTTCTTTCAGACTTTTTCCTCCCCGGAGAGGGGTGGGGGTACTTGAAATTTTCGGGGGCGGGGGTAGAATTTTCTGGGAGGGGGCGGACACTGGAAAAAGTATATAATTATATTTCGTTGAATGGGACGGTAGACATGTTTTTTTTTTGGGGGGGGGGGGGGTGGGGGTGGGGGGGGCGGTGTGTGGAGGGGGTGGTGTGTGGGGGTGAGGGGTGGGGGGGGGGGGTGGTGTGTGGTGGGGGGTGGGGGTGGTGTGTGGGGGTGGGGGGTGGGGTGGGGGTGGTGTGTGGGGGGGTGGTGTGTGGGGGGGTGGGTTGGTTTTAGTTTAGAGAAAAGAGACAGCACTATCAGCCTAGCGCCCGTTGTACCCTTCCTCAACGGGCCATTTTTCTCGTTAATACTAATAGTTTCGCTGTCTGTCTATCTATCTATCTGACAAGAACGCTCTAGAGAAAACACAAGGAAAATAAAAACATGCACAGTAATTCGAAAAACGAAGTATGACGTCGACACATTTAGCGCACAGAGTAGAAAATAATCTCAAACCCAGAGAGTGCTCAAAGTTATATGACGTCATTGATTTTCGCGTTAACATTGAATAAAAAGGAAATGTTGTCTAATCTTAATGGTTTGCGTGAAGAGTTTCTTGCATACAATTCTTCGGGTAGGGGCGAAGCCCCACCCCCCGCGTAAGAATGTCTGAGACCCCCCCCCCCCTTCGGGGAGGGGGCGGACACTGGAAAAAGTATATAATTATATTTCGTTGAATGGGACGGTAGACATGTTTTTTTTTTTTTGGGGGGGGGGGGGGGTGGGGGGGGGTGTGTGTGGGGGGGTGGGGGGGTGGTGTGTGTGGGGGGTGGGGGGGGTGGTGTGTGTGGGGGGTGGGGTGGTTTTAGTTTAGACTTTTTCCTCCCCAGAGAGGGGTGGGTGTACTTGAAATTTTCGGGGGCGGGGGTAGAATTTTCGGGGAAGGGGCGGACACTGGAAAAAGTATATAATTATATTTCGTTGAATGGGACGGTAGGCATGTTTTTTTTTTTGGGGGTGGGGGGGGGGGGGTGGGGTGGGGGGTTGTGTGTGTGGGGGGGCGGTGTGTGGAGGGGGTGGTGTGTGTGGGGGGTGGGGGGTGGGGGGTGGGGGTGGGGGGTGGGGGTGGGGGTGGGGTGGGGTGGGGGTGGTGTGTGTGGGGGGGGGGGTGGGTTGGTTTTAGTTTAGAGAAAAGAGACAGCACTATCAAGCTAGCGCCCGGTGTATCCTTCCTCAACGGGCCATTTTTCTCGTTAATACTAATAGTTTCGCTGTCTGTGTATCTGACAAGAACGCTCTGTCTGACAAGAACGCTCTAGAGAAAACACAAGCAATTTAAAAACATGCACAGTAATTCGAAAAACGAAATATGACGTCGACACATTTAGCGCACAGAGTAGAAAATAATCTCAAACCCAGAGAGTGCTCAAAGTTATATGACGTCATTGATTTTCGCGTTAACATTGAATAAAAAGGAAATGTTGTCTAATCTTAATGGTTTGCGTGAAGAGTTTCTTGCATACAATTCTTCGGGTAGGGGCGAAGCCCCACCCCCCGCGTAAGAACGTCTGAGCCCCCCCCCCCCCCTCGGGGAGGGGGCGGACACTGGAAAAAGTATATAATTATATTTCGTTGAATGGGACGGTAGACATGTTTTTTTTGGGGGGGTGGGGGGGTGGGGGGGGGGGTGGGGGGGTGGTGTGTGTGGGGGGTGGGGGGGTGGTGTGTGTGGGGGGTGGGGTGGTTTTAGTTTAGACTTTTTCCTCCCCAGAGAGGGGTGGGGGTACTTGAAATTTTCGGGGGCGGGGGTAGAATTTTCGGGGAAGGGGCGGACACTGGAAAAAGTATATAATTATATTTCGTTGAATGGGACGGTAGGCATGTTTTTTTTTGGGGGGGGGGGTGGAGGGGTGGGGGGGGGTGGTGTGTGTGGGGGGGGGGGCGGTGTGTGGAGGGGGTGGTGTGTGTGGGGGGTGGGGGGTGGGGGTGGGGGGTGGTGTGTGGGGTGGGGTGGGGGTGGTGTGTGTGGGGGGGGGGTGGGTTGGTTTTAGTTTAGAGAAAAGAGACAGCACTATCAAGCTAGCGCCCGGTGTATCCTTCCTCAACGGGCCATTTTTCTCGTTAATACTAATAGTTTCGCTGTCTGTCTATCTATCTATCTGACAAGAACGCTCTAGAGAAAACACAAGGAAAATAAAAACATGCATAGTATTTCGAAAAACGAAGTATGACGTCGACACATTTAGCGCACAGAGTAGAAAATAATCTCAAGCCGGATAGTGCACACATTGATATGACGTCATTGATTTGGTCTAATTTGGTCTAATCTAAGTGGTTTGCGTGAAGTTTCTTTCATACAATTCTTCGGGTAGGGGCGAAGCCCCACCCCCGCGTAAGAACGTCTGAGCCCCCCCCCCCCCCTCTCCCCAACTCAAAAGAAATTTCCTCATCGATACTCTATAATAAAATTACCGCCTAATTAATGTGTCTCATCTAAAAAGTGGTTTTCTTGCAATTTCTTTAATGCAATTCTTCGCGTAGTGGCTATGCGCGACACCAGTGTTTCTTTCAGACTTTTTCCTCCACGGAGAGGGGTGAGGGTACTTGAAATTTTCGGGGGCGGGGGTAGAATTTTCGGGGAGGGGCCGGACACTGGAAAAAGTAAATAATTATATTTCGTTGAATGGGACGGTAGACATGTTTTTTTAGAGGGGGGGGGGGGGTGGGGGTGTGGGGGGGGGGGGTGTGTGGGTGGGTGGGGGGTGGGGTGTGTGGGGGTGGGGGGTGGTGTGTGTGGGGGTGGGTGGTGGGGGGGTGTGTGGGTGGGTGGGGGATGGGGTGTGTGGGGGTGGGGGGTGGTGTGTGTGGGGGTGGGGGGGGTGGGGGGTGGTGGTGTGTGGGGGTGGGGGGTGGGTGGGGGGTGTGGGGGTGGGGGGGGTGGTTTTAGTTTAGAGAAAAGAGACAGCACTATCAGCCTAGCGCCCGGTGTATCCTTCCTCAACGGGCCATTTTTCTCGTATAAATAATATTTACAAAAAAATTATTTTTAAAAATACGTTAGAAACTTTAATAGATAAGAATCTCATAGCTAAAAAGACTTGAGAGTTGAGAGCACTAAAATTTGTACTTTATATAAGCCAACTAATTTTTAAAAAGTTTCATTGTTGACGGACATAGGGCCTACATGTCAATTTTGAAATAGATCGTTTTGGACCTTTTTATATGTACATTTAAAGCTTCCAGGGATTGGGTATATATATATATATATATATATATATATATATATATATATATATATATATATATATATATATATATATATATATATATATGAAATCAAGGTAGATTGGCAAAACATTTGGTCGATGTTTGATTTAATGCGTAGCTTCAACTAATATAAATATGTAACTGTCTACAGTAGCGTAGCCAGGAATTGGTCATATGGGAGGGGTTCATATATTTTTCCATATGTATAAAATCATATATATATATATATATATATATATATATATATATATATATATATATATATATATATATATATATATATATATATATATATATATATATATATATATATATATATATATATATATATATATATTCCATGGGAGTGGTTATAACCCCCCTTACCCCCTTGCCTACGCCACTGACTGTCTAAGGAAGAGCATAAAATACAATGCGCATCGGTGGCGTCACCAGGTTGGGCGACATCTGGTGCGGTTAGCCAGGATGTCATTCCCTCCATCTGCTAATAACTATACACACGATGCAGTAAATGTATGGATAATTTGGTGTCACCCCCATCACGGATTGTCATCCCGTATCCAGAGGTCTGGCAATTCATTCAGGCGCCCGGGGCGAACAATCAGTTTTGCTCCCCCATCTTATTTAAATAGGTTGGCGAAAATGCACCCCTCTTTTGGAAGGGTCAGGGCTCTCAGTCACTGTCCCTTAACGGTGTTTATTTTGGTTTCATATTACTGGTGTAGAAAATAGTTAAATAATTTCGTAAAGCCCCAGAGGCGTAGCGACCCTTCCCGGCGCCCGGGGACATACTTTCAATTTGGCGCCCCCCTCGGGAGCAAATTTTCGATTTGCACCCCCCCCCCCTCAAACTTTCGATTTGCACCCCCCCCCTCAAACTTTCGATTTGCACCCCCCTCGAACTTTTCATTTGCACCCCCCCTCAAACTTTCAATTTGGCGCCCCCCCTAAGGTCGGCGCCCGGGGACATATGTCCCCCCCGCCCCCCCCCCCCCTCGCTACGCCTCTGTAAAGCCCAGAATAACAGTTTACTTTTTTAACTTCTACTGTGTATGATTTCAGTTATGCAGCTCAGAATAAACTAAAAAAAATAATAATTTTGGCCTGTTTGCCACCCCACACCCCCACCCCCGCCCTGAGGTCGGCGCTTGAGGCTGTCGCCCCACCCGCCCTCTTCTAGCTATACCAGCGCCTGTATTTAATAATGTATTAGTATTAATTAACTATAATACTAACTTGAAAAAGGCAGACATTCTGATTACAATTTAATATATTTAAGTTAGGTGTCACCCCCTTGTATAGAGTCACCCCCATCCTTCCCCGCATTGTTACGCCACTGATGCAGACTATGATCAGTTTCTATTCCTATTCTAACGGTTTTTGCTAACCGCCACCCCCTCTTCCCCTCCCAGAAAAAAAAATCAATAATGTTTTCCCGCTGGTAGGTCAGAATATCCCGAGTAAAAATTTCCACTCGGTTCTTTCTAAGTAGCCAATCAGAAGCCTGGTAATATATGGAGGTGAAATGTTGTGCTCCAGTTGAGTTACGCTATCGTCAGAAAATTTTCCATTCTAATTAAAGTGGGGAGGTGGAGCTACTAAAACAGATGGGGGAGGGGGGAGGAGGGGACTTAGGGTAGGGGGGAATAGGTTCAAGTGTATTTTAAAATTCATGCTATCTCCTTCACCCCACCACTCACAATGTAGGACGGTTCCAAATTCCTGTCTGTGTTAATATGTCATTGGAACAAACTATTTATAGCAAGTGTAGCACGTGCTGGTTCTAAAATTAAATCGTAAACACGGATTTCAGTGTATGAACAGCAACATTCGCTGACTTAGAAGCGCTAGCAGTATAAACAGTTTTTTTTATATTTTGCATGGGGTGTAACTACTAACTGTTATTAATTCACATTTTTGGTAAGTTTTTACATTTGGAATTTTTTCACGTCCGCTTGTTTAGTATTTTTATAGTTAAGAAGAGTATAGGGCCTATAAATTAGCCTATATTTTAATTTCCCCGTGCCCTTTGACATTATATTATAAAACGTACATCACAATGTTAAAAACAACAGAGACAACGGAAGAATAATTATTTCTCCGCTTGTCAACCCTCTCCCCCTTCACACATGAGACCCGCACAGAGGCGTAGCGAGGGGGGGTGCGGACCGCACCGGGTGACACCATTTAGGGGGGGGGGGGTGACACCAAGGCAAAAAATAGCAAAATATATAGAGAAAAAATGATAATTCCACTTAATTAAGTGATTAATTCGAGTGTTAAGTAGTGTTTTAAGAGGTGCAAATCGATAGTTTGAGGGGTGGGGGGTGCAAACCGAAAATTGAAAGTTTATCCCCGGGAAGGGTCGCTACGCCTCTGGGGGGGGGGGGTGGTGGGGGGGGGGGGTGACACCATTAAGTGCCGCACCGGGTGAGACCCGACCTCGCTACGCCACTGGACCAGCACACACAACTTAATGCGATCTTGACAATGTTATGTAAGCCTTTCACACCTTGATGAGACCCCGCCCCACACCTCTATGGGACCCCCACCCACATTGATGCGATACACTTGTCCTCTCAGATAAAAGGTACCCCCCCTTTCCACCATGTATACACACATTGAAAATATTTATGTAAATTAACATTTTTATGACTTGTACTGTTTGATTTTATTGAAGAGTGTGAAACTAAGACATATCATTAGTAATATTAATTTGAATGAAAAAGTCTGTATTTTGGTACCTTTAACCCCAACCCTAACATTTAACCCTGACCATAATCCTAACCCCAACCCCAATCCTCACCCCAATCCCAAACCCAACCCCAACCCCAATCCTAACCCCAACCCCAATACTAACCCCAACCCTTGAGGCGGATAAGGAGTTGTTTTTATAGCGTGTGTTTAAATATTCGAATGTCTAGACATTAGAAATAGGCGGGGGATCAACTTTTCGCCCGTGCACTTTTTGCTTTAGTGGCGGGGGTTATCTAAACAAAACCCAAACATTTCACCCAATACTTAGGGCTCTTTAAGACTGGAGTTCGGATCTCAGATTCGAGTTTGTAGGACGTCCATCTAACTTTGACTCACGTTAGGAAAAATGAAGGATTGGCATAGTGCTCATCACACTATCCCTTTATATGCAGTGGTCAAGAAACAGATGAACTTTAATCCATCTGTCCAGTGAATCTTCAGGCTCGAAAGGGTAACTTTATGGGCCCGACTATCACTGAATCAGTTTTAGCCGATATATGTATACATAGTGTATGTTTAGCCTAATACTCTTGAATATTCAACAAAATAAATCGGTGTTATATCTATGTCCAATATTGCCAGAATAATGTTGTATTCAAATTTATAAGTGGGGGAGGGGGGTGCGTATCAAGTTGTAAACTCCCAACTAATATCCCTTGCTAATGTCTATGCTATGCCTAACATAAACTCTCACCCAAACCCTGTCCAGTGTTTCTTGCAGACTTTTTACTCGGGGGGGGGGGGGGGGGCGGACACTGTTAAAAGTATAAAGTAGAGTTAATCTCTATCAATGATCTCGGCATGCAGGGGGATAGTGTGGTCAGCAATTATGCACAGCCGCATTTTTTTTCTTTAGCATGAGTCAGGTAACCATTTGAGCTGAGTGGACCTCCTAGTCTCAATTCCGGCATCCGAACTCGAGACTTTCAGGTTAGCAGTCGTGAGCTCTTCCACCCCGGCCACACTGTCCCCAAAACTGATATTCACATTATAGTAACATACAAACTTCATGCAGAGGCGTAGCGAGGGGGGGGGGGGGGCGGAAGGACATATGTCCCCGGGCGCCGACCTTAGGGGGCGCCAAAATGGGTTGGAAAAATAAATTGAAAGGTTGAGGGGGGGGGGGGTGCAAATCGAAAGTTTGTCCCCGGGCGCCGGGAAGGGTCGCTACGCCTCCGACTTCATGAATTTATTCGAAATGCAGCAGCATTATTCTTTAAAAAGACACACACAACAAAATGATTAACGAAGCCGTTTGTGTATTGTCACAATTGTGTGATCCTTCCCCCCCCCACCCCCTCAAGGCTAAGGCCACAAATTTACCGTCAACGCTGCGAAAATTTCTGTTCGCCTTGACCTTTATTGATTTTTGTCCAATAGGCACATTCCCACAGTCTTTCTTTCGTGCGATGCGCGTTTGCGCGGGCGCACAATGCGCTTTTCCCTCCAAGAGCACCGCTAAACATTTCCACAAAATGGATAGTCCACCTATCTGTCCTGAATCGGTAAACTGTGTTGTCCAAACTCACGACCTTGAACTCGTGCGCTCACACTGACATGTGTGATATTCTAACCAGCCTGTAGTGTTGGACGTAAGCAAATCTGAAACAAAACAGAGCGTTTGTTTCGCCGTAATACAGAAAAAAAAGAAAAAATATATCGGCTCTTATTTGTATTGGCACCGCTTCAACTCTTAGTAGAGATACAAAGAAAATAATACACCCATTTAGATACGGGTACCGTATTATTACAACCTGTTTCTACAATAGAATAGAAGCATTCGCTTGTATCAGTGTTGGTGTCAGTATGAAAAATACAATATGACGTAACTGTTACTCCCATCGGAGTTACCAACTAAATTTGATCAGTGGCGTCTCTAGAGGGTGTGTGAGAGGTTTGCGGGGGGGGGGGGGGGGGCGAGGGTCCAATTAAATGGACGTATTTAAATTAATAGTCAGTTTTGTTGGAATGGGAGGGGAGGGGGGAAGGGGTACAATTAAATGAACTTAATTACATTAATATTCAATTTTCTGAAAATGGGAGGGGGATGGGGTGGGGTTGACAGAAAGCGTGACGACACACGTTTGCCATTAATGTTAGAAACATAAATTTAGCGGTTATTTCGTGTTTTATAAAGCACTATTTTCGTCAACTGTCATAAAAAGAATAAAATACTCAATATTGACAGAGCTCAGTAAATATTTTAGATAGGGATTGTTGGCTTTTTGTGACCTCGTTTATGGATGACCCAAAGATTGGATGTCACAGAGTTCCCAATGAAATCGTCAATAACACTTTACTTGTATCTTTTCGTGGTTTGGTCAGAGTTTCTTCCAGGCATCACTTCGGATACAGAGCCCCCTCCCCCCCCCCCCCAAGTCAGTCTACCGCCCCCCCCCCCCCGAACAAAATGGAACCTATATAGCAAATAAATATGTACTTTTAACAGTGTCCGCCCCCCACGAATATTTCAAGTGCCCCCCCCCCCCCCCCGGAGAAAAAAGTCTGTAAGAAACACTGGGTTTGTTAGAGTAGTAGCTCTCAATGGTAGAACCAAAGACGCGAGTTTGACGCAGGATGTCATTCCTGGGTGAACCAGGACACGTCTTTACATTAATCTGAACACTTGGGAACATTCAGGACAGATCCTTACTTTAACCTTATAAACACTTGGGAAAACCAGGACAGATCCTTACTTTAACCTTATAAACACTTGGGAAAATTCAGGACAGATCCTTACTTTAACCTTATAAACACTTGGGAAAATGCAGGACAGATCCTTACTTTAACCTTATAACCACTTGGGAAAACCAGGACAGATCCTTACTTTAACCTTATAACCACTTGGGAAAACCAGGACAGATCCTTACTTTAACCTCATAACCACTTGGAAAAACCAGGATAAATCCTTACTTTAACCTTATAAACACTTGGGAAAATTCACGACAGATCCTTACTTTAACCTTATAACCACTTGGGAAAACCAGGACAAATCCTTACTTTAACCTTATAACCACTTGGAAAAACCAGGACAGATCCTTAAACCTTATAACCACTTGGGAAAACCAGGACAGATCCTTACTTTAACCTTATAACCACTTGGGAAAACCAGGACAGATCCTTACTTTAACCTTATAACCACTTGGGAAAACCAGGACAGATCTTTACTTTAACCTTATAACCACTTGGGAAAACCAGGACAGATCCTTACTTTAACCTTATAACCACTTGGGAAAACCAGGACAAATCCTTACTTTAACATCAACACCATCTTGGGATGACCAACACAAATCCTAACCCAAACTCCCCTAACAACACGACTGTCAATGACGGGGACAACACCTTACCTTCACCGATGTTAATTCGCCCAGTGCCTTACATAATATTTTCAACGAGACAATTACAGCCCCCTTAATTAAATTTCTCGTCGCGCGTGACAGCATCACGTGCTGTATTTTAATCAGCTGAATCAGAGTCTGACGTCATGAATGAGATATCCCTACGCCATCATTGACCGTTTAATTAGTTTTCAAAAGTAGAAACGGCCTTTACCGCCATGGTGGTCTAATCTCATATCTTATGCGAGGGCACGTTCAAACACCTTAATACACTTTTAGATTTCAAGTTTTCTCTAGTTTAGTTCCCTGGGATCAATTTTGTGAAGAATTGTGTTGCCATATTCAGGTTGTGTATTAAATTCAGTGGTGTGTATCATTATACCAAAAGAATGGATGGAAGCAGAGTTTCTTTCAGGCATCTCTCCGGTCACCGGTGGTGGGATGGGGGGGGGGGGGGGAGAAGGGAGAGGTGTGACTACTGTGGATCTCCCCCCCTCTCCCACCTCAAGAACGTCTCCAGCCCCCGCCCCCCCCCCCCCCCCCCCCCCGAACGAAATATAATTTATTTAGAAAATATATACTTCTACCAATGTCCCCCACCATCCCCGGAAAATTTAGTCCACCCCCCACCCCCCGAAAATTTCAAATCCCCCAACCCTCTGGAGAAAAAGTCTGAAAGAAACACTGGATGGAAGTGGGTAAAGAAATGATGTGTGTTGGTGTGTGTGTGTGTGTGTGTGTGGGGGGGGGGGGGTTAATTAACACGGGTAGTTGATTATCAGTTGGGTACAAGTTACTGTGCGTGTGTTAGCATTATAGGTGAAT